TAGGGTAAATACATAGTACATTCACATACTTAAGGCAAACATTTCCATAAGAAAAATGCCTTGGTTAGCTCAAGATTTGAGAAAAGTTAAGGTCAGGTGGAACCAGGTGTCATTATAGCAACACAGAATTTTAAGAAAAAAACCTCTTCTTAAATTTGTATAGAGAAAGGGAAAAAAGATAACACTAGCTTGTTTCCTCTCTCCTCTTGAGAGATAAAAAATGTCTGACACTTGGGAGAAGGCAATGGCACCCCACTCCAGTACTCTTGCCTGGAAAATCCCATGGACGGAGGAGCCTGGTAGGCTGCAGTCCATGGGGTCGCTAAGAGTCGGACACGACTGAGCGGCTTCCCTTTCACTTTTCACTTTCATGCATTGCAGAAGAATATCCCATACCTCCAACTCCATTATCCTCTAACCTCACTTCTCATTACCTATCATACTAATCTTTTTACTCCTTTGTTTACTGTCTCTTGTTTGTTTACAATCAATTTGAATACCAGCTCCATAAGGGCAGAAACTTATCTTTAATTTCATGACTATATTCCCCAAACCTAAAAGAGCACATGGAGAAGACATTTGTTGAATGAATAAATTTCTGCTGTTTTCTGTATAACATTTTCTTTTTTTTACAACCTCTCATTTTGTTTCACTGGTTCACTCAGTTGTCAGTGTAGTAGTCAGCTAATCATCACGTTAGACTGAGAAGGGCATGGCGACCCACTACAGTTCTTGCCTGGAGAATTCCATGGACAGAGGAGCTTGGCGGACTACTGTCCGTGGGGTTGCGGAGTCAGACATGACTGAGTGACCAACACATCCATATAGTAAGTGGGGGCTTCCAGGTGGCTCAGTGGTGAAGAATCCACCTGCCAATGCAGGAGATGCAGATTCAGTCCTTGGGTTGGGAAGATCCCCGGTGGAGGAAATGGCACCCCACCCCAGAACTCTTGCTGGGAAAGTCCCGTGGACGAAAAAAAGAAAAAGTCCCACGGACGGAGGAGTCTGATGGGCTACAGTCCCGGGGGTTGCAAAGAGCGGGAAAAGCCTGAGTGACCGAGCACACCACGGAGGAGAGGACGAAACAACAGCTCAGGGAGTGAGCAGCGGACTAGGAGACGCAGGCTCGCCCAGCGAGCTTACGGAGCCTCTTGGGATGACTGGTCACACGTTGAAGTGAGGCCGCCGCCAACATGTTCAGCTGCAGGTGTACCGGTGTAGAGAAGGCAGAAAGTTGGGTTTAACCGAGGCGGGACTGCCCCCAGGCCAGCAGAAAAATGGCAGGGAAAAGATACATGAAAACTGTATCGACAATATAAGCTGTTAAGGAAAGGAGGATATGAGGTGGGAGGCAGGGTGAAAAGATGGCAGGATTAAAATATTGTAGATTCTGATGGCATCAAAGAACTGTTAATGTCAGGATCAAAGAGAAGCTAGAAAGACAGTAGAAGGTGGTATTTTTGGACCACAAACTTAGGTCTTCTGATCTAGGATAAAGCAACATATATGCCTCCTAATGTGACCAAACTTCTGTGGTATTCCTCTCTCAAATGAATACTCTTGACTCTAGTAAGAAACATGAGGAACATTCTACAAAATAAAAGGCCTCCACTTTTTGAAACTGTGAATGTCACGAAAGGCTGAGGACTGTTGCAGAATAAAGGAGACTAAAACTAAATGCAATGTGTGACCCTGGGTTGAATTCTGGACCTATGAACGGCATTACTACCACAAGTGGTTAAATATCCGAGTAAGACTTTGTTTCCCTTAGATATCAGTACTATGTCCATATAGATTTCCTCATTTTTGATAAGTGTGTGATGATTATATAAAATGTCCTTTTTGTTACAAAATACACACTGCAGTATTTAGGGGTAAAAAAAAAAAAAAAATGACACTTGCAGCCTATTTCTTCCCTTTGGAGACCACTGGCCTTCCTGCCTGTAACCCTCTCAGTTTCATTCATTGAATGTTATCTGGCTTGTCAAACATTGAGTCTAGAAGTATGTGTTTATTTTGTGGGTATTTCATTCAATTTCATTTAAATGCATATGTTAATGGTGGTATTACAAAATTTGATATGCTGTTCCTTTGTATACTGACACAGGACATTGGGAAATGTGAGTTTCCAAGTTCGATTTAGTTTTTCATGTTTGTTTTTCTTTTTCGGGGTACAAAAGAGAATCATATGACTGTTAAAATCAGCTTTTGTATTTTTTGCCAAATGTTAATTCTGATCACATCGAATCTGGAAATGTGTCTGTGCGTTAAAGTCCTAATAAATATGTTAATTGATTAAAAAAAAAAAAGAATCCGCCCACAATGCGGGAGACCTGGGTTTGATCCCTGGGTTGGGAAGATCCCCTGGAGAAGGAAAAGGCTACTCACTCCAGTATTCTGGCCTGGAGAATTCCATGGACAGAGGAGCCTGGCAGGCTACAAGTCCATGGGGTCTCAAAGAGTCAGACACGACTGAGTGGCTAAGCAAAGCCCAGCAAGGTCTGAGATAGGACTTCCCAGGTGGCTCAGTGATAAAGAATCCACCTACCAATGCATGAAACACAGATGTGGGTTCAATTCCTGGGTCGGGAGGATCCCCTGGAGTAGGAAATGGCAATGCATTCCAGTAATCTTGCCTGGAAAATTCCAGGGACAGAGGAGGATAAAGGGATACAGTCCACAGGGCCGCAAAGAGTCGGACACGACTGAGCACACACACACACACACACACACACACACAAGGTCTGAGATACTAAGATTCTGTGATGAAAGGGACAGCCCTGCATAGTAAAGGATTATCCAGCAGCCTCACCACCTTAGAACGTCTCCAAACACATTCCTGTGCATGGAAAAATCGGTTTATAATTGTCTGTGGCTACTACCAAACCATTTTACATCTAAATGCAAAATACGTTTAGCGCAACTTTAATTAACACTGAATTTTCGGGGAATGCAACTACGTGTCAATCGAGGCTTGACTGGACCTTGTTTTCCTCGGATATTTACCAAGAACTGTTCACCGTTTTGGAAAAATCATTCCTCCACTGGCCAGACTGCTCCTGGGAGCAGAGATCTAAAAGTTTGTGGCTGTCCTTGTTAGGTGACTCCCTGCTACTTCACTACTTCTTCATAGTAGTACCAAGCACTGACAGATTGAAGTATTGACTTGATAAAGACAGGCACTATGGCATTTAGATTTACCTGATAAGATTCAGGATGGCAAGGGGGCACAAAAGCCCCATCCATGCCTACTGTGTCAGTTATCTTCAGTTTTTAATATAAGGCCTGAAATTCCTTTTGGCACTTAAGCTCCTTTGGTTTGGGTTTGTCACCCTCAGTCCGGGCTCCTGGCTTCTTGAGAGGGGAAGGTGAATTTCCCCTGGGTAGTAAGTGGGGTGATCCCCTTTCCTCTACTATCTCTCGGGAAACACTGTGCTTGTAACATGGACACACCGTCAATAGCCCGTGGGCAAAAAGATGGGCCAGTGATTCCCTTCGGGGTTGTTTCTTTTCTTTTTTTTAAATTTTATTTATTTTGGCTGTGCTGGGTCTTCGGTGCTGCCTGGGCTTTTCTCGAGTTGCAGAGAGCAGTGGCCACTCCACAGCGGCGGTGCACAAGCCTCTCTTTACAGGGGCCTCTCTTGTTGCAGAGCACAGGCTCCGCTCCCGGGGCTCTAGAGCACAGGCTCAGTACTTGTGACTGACCGGTTCTGACTGCTCCCCAGCACGTGGGATCCTCCAGGGCCAGGGAGGTGAAATTGTTTACCTCGAACTGGGACTTGAACCTACGTGGCTGGGACTCAAACCCAGCCAAAACCCACAGTACCTGGTTTCAGGACCTAATGTAGCTCAGGTTCTTGATGCACAAAGTGATAGGTAAGAAGTGGATTTATTCAGATTCAGAGAGAAGTGCACTCCACAGACAGAGTGTGGGCCATCGCAGAGGGCGAGTGTGGCTGTGAAGTGTGGCATGGTTAGTTTTTACAGGTTGGGTAATTTCATATGCTAATGAGTGGGAGGATTATTCTAATTATTTGAGGGAGGGGTGGAGATTTCCAGGATTTGGACCACTCCTTGGTCTTTTGACAGTGCCTTGGAACTGTCAGGGCACCTCTGGGTGTGTCATTTCACTTGCTGATTGAGGATCAAGGTCTAGTCTTGTCTGCCATCTTGGTCCCATTTGATTCTAAATGGTTTATGTCCTATCCCTGGGCTATCATTCTTTCAAAAGTTGTGCCCTGCTCCTTTCTCTCCTGTTACAGAGGGACCAATCCCTCCCCTGCGTTGGCAGGCCACTGAGCCACAAGGAAGCCCCATAGGGTTGTTTCTGAACTGTCTCTGGCAGTTCCTGGAGGCCCAGCACTTGGCTCTGATCACCTCCCACCTCTCTGAAAGCTGCCTGGTCTGGCGCCCCTCTGCCAGCCACCAGCCTTGGGGGCTTTGGGTAAGCTGTTCCATTCCTTTTTCCCATTAGACTATGGTAGCCACTACTTTCTTTGTGTCTCAGACAGCAAAAAATTTGCGCAATGACAGAGACCTGGGTTTGATCCCTGGTTGGGAAGATCCCCTGGAGAAGGAATGGCAACCCGCTCCAGTATTCTTGCCTGGAGATTCCCATGGACAGAGGAGCCTGGAGAGTTATAGTCCATGGAGACTAACACCACACACACACACACACACACACACACACACATTAGACTACGGTTAGGGCATCATGCTGATTTTAAAAAACTGAGTGAGAAGACAGGTTATGTTTCTGAGTGATCTGTCAGTGTAGGAAGGGGGGACGATTAGGGGTATAGAATGGGAGCCAGCTCCGCAGCCAGGGGAGGCTGGGGACACCTGAGGGCCCGGTGTTAAGGGAGGCGGACGCGGAATGGGAACTTAAAGCCTCCAGCGCGGGGACCGAGCGACCGAGAGTCCCCCGCCCAGGAAGCACCAGCGGGTGGAACCCCCTAAGTTTCGGGGTCGGGGGAAACTCTCGCTCCCTTAGGAACACTATGGGTGGTGGCGGGCTGGAGAGCTGCAGACCTCCGCTGGAGCCAGGAGCTCGGAGCGCAGCACGTTGCCACGGAGACCGACGCGGCGCGGGACCCAAGGCAGCTCCCCAGCAGAGCGCGCCTTCGCAGGCGGGGGCTGCACTCTTCCCCGCGGCTCCGGGAGCCCTGGGGGGCAGCTCCGGGTCCAGGCTGAGGGCGCCGCCCGTTGCTTACCTGCTTCGCTGGGCGAGAGAAGCGTCCTCGGTGGGGCAGGGTTCCCCCGGCTGTGGCGCCTCCGGGCGGGCTGCCGGGGCGGAGCTGCGCGGGGGAGGGCGGGAGGGGCGCGGGGCGCGAGCGGCCGGGGACGCGCCCACACCGTCCACCCGGAAGAGGGCCGGGGAGTTTGCTCGGTTGCCTTAGGTCCGGACACCTCTGCTAACACTCCACAAGCTGACGGTGTACCAGATGCTTTGCATATATTATCTCTATACTTTGCAACAACCGAGCAAGGAAGGTAGTAGTTACCCAGTTTTACAACTGAGCGGCACTGAGGCAGGAAGAGTTTCTCGAGCAGGGTCTCAAATACTGTCAAGAGATGGAGACTAGAGCGGAGCCCTGCTCTTTTGGCCGCAGCGGGCGGCCTCCATGGGGTCCCCTTAGGAAACTGGCTGCTGCCCAGTGGTCTACAAAACACGCTCCCTCAGCACCGCCCCATCGCCCTGCTTCCAATCCTCTCTCCCACTGTACATCAAGCTGCCGTCGGAAACGTTTCATTACCTGTTTAAGGAGCTAAAAAGATGTCATTTCCAGCAATTATAAATACTGACACAAGTGAAACATAACCAACGGAATGTAGATACCATGGCGATCTGAAACCCGGCATCATCTGTTAAGTTAATAAAAAAAGGAAGCTGTCCTTTAAGAATCAGAAGCTTTTCTTCAGAACATCATTCCTTTCTCATTGAACTCATATTTCCATAAGTAATGTTTTTCATGGCTCAAAAGCTTCCTGATCACCTTATCATATAAATGGAAGTTAATTTCTATTTCCTAATCATATGCTTTAAAAAATTCATTAAAATTAGTGGTCCAAAGGGTGATAATGTCAAAGTAACATATTGACAGTTAACATAGTCCAACATGATTAAGAAAGAAACGTTATTCCCTTGCTGATCCCAAGAGAAAATTGCCATTTTGTTTGTGTTTTGGGGGGGAGCAGACATGCCTGTGTCTTCTGAGGGGACCTAAGGTATAACCCACAAACACAATACTCACTGAAAAGGGGGCAGTGGTCCAAACTGGCAGAGAGAAATTTTTATGTTTAAATTGTTTCTTATCCTGCCTTAAAAATAATTTTATTTCATCAATTCTCACTTTAATCTCTTTTTAAGCTGCAAAAGTCCTGAAAAGCCTCATTCGTGTCAGTAAATGGAATTGAAAGTTTTTGCTAAAAGTGATTCTCAATTCTTGCCTAGTTGTATGTCAAGAATCATATAGTAATCTATCACTAAAATTGTGTTCTAATCATCCATTAGGGTTTCTTGAAATTCTATTATAAGCCAAACCCTTGTAAACTATCTTTCTCATCAGAATTCATTCAGCCACTCAGTAACTATACAGTTTCAAGTTTCCTTTGTTGATTGGTTTGGAAGTGTTCCCACCCGGGACAGTGCTAAAATTTGAGATAACGAAGAGTTATCAAATACAGTATTTATGGAAGCTGATTACCTGGAAATATCCTTAAAACCATCCCTGCCTACATTAATTGTTGAATGTCTTCAAGATCAATCAGTTCAGTAGCTCAGTTGTGTTCGACTCTTTGCCACCCCGTGAACTGCAGCCTGCCAGGCTTCCCTGTCCATCACCAACTCCCGGAGCTTGTTCAAACTCATAACCATCCAGTCAGTGATGCCATTCAACCATCTCATCCTTTGTTGTTCCCCTCTTCTCCTGCCTTCAACCCTTCCCGGCATCAGGGTCTTTTCCAGTGAGTCAGTTCTTCCCATCAGATGGCCAAAGTATTGGGACTTCAGCTTCAGCATCAGTCCTTCCAATGAATATTTAGGACTGATTTCCTTTAGGATTGACTTGTTTGACAAGTCAGTCACTTGACTTGCAGTGCAAGGGACTCTCAAGAGTCTTCTCCAACACCACAGTTCAAAAACATTAATTCCTCGGTGCTCAGCTATCTTAATGGTCCAACTCTCACATCCATACAGGACTACTGGAAAAACCAGAGCTTTGACTAGACAGACCTTTGTTGGCCAACTAAAGTCTCTGCTTTTTAACGTGCTGTCTAGTTTGGTCATAGCTTTTCTTCCAAGGAGCAAGCGTCTTTTAATTTTATGGCTGCAATCACCATCTGCAGTGATTTTGGAGCCCCCCAAAATAAAATCTGTCACTGTTTCCACTGTTTCCCCATCTATTTGCCATGAAGTGATGGGACCGGATGCCATGATCTTAGTTTTTTTAATGTTGAGTTTTAAGACAGGTTTCTCACTCTCCTCTTCACGTTCATCAAGAGGCTCTTTAGTTTCTCTTCAACTTCTGCCATAAGGGTGGTGTTGTCTGTATATCTGAGGTTATTGATATTTCTCTTGGCAATCTGGATTCCATCTTGTGCTTTATCTGGCCTGGAATTTTGCATGATGTACTCTGCATATAAGTTAAATAAGTAGGGTGACAATATATAGCCTTAACATACTCCTTTCCCGATGTGGAACCAGTCCATTGTTCCATGTCCAGTTCTAACTGATGCTTCTTGACCTGCATACAGATTTCTCAGGAGGCAGGTCAAGTGGTCTGGTATTCCCATCTCTTGGAGAATTTTCCAAAGTTTGTTGTGATCCACACAGTCAAAGTCTTTAGCATAGTCAATAAAGCAGAAGTAGATGTTTTTCTGGAACTCTCTTGATCTTTCTATGATTCAGTGGATGTTGGCAATTTGATCTCTGGTTCCTCTGCTTTTCTAAATCCAGCTTGAACATCTGGAAGTTCTTGGTTCATGTACTGTTGAAGCCTGGCTTGGAGAATTTTGAGCATTACTTTGGTAGCGTGTGAGATGAGTGCAATTGTGTGGTAGTTTGAGCATTCTCTGGCATTACCTTTCTTTGGAATTGGAATGAAAACTGACCTTTTCCAGTCCTGTGGCCACAGCTGAGTTTTCCAAGTTTGCCGGCATATTGAGTGCAGCACTTTCACAGCATTATCTTTTAGGATTTGAAATTGCTCAGCTGGAATTCCATCATCTCCATTACCTTTGTGATGCTTGCTAAGGCCTATTTGACTTTGCAGTCCAGAATGTCTGGCTCTAGGTGAGTGATCACACCATCAGGTTAATCTGGGTCATGAAGATCTTTTTTGTATAGTTCTTCTGTGTATTCTTGCTACCTCTTCTTAATATCTTCTGCTTCTATTAGGTCCATACTGTTTCTGTTCTTTATTGTGCCCATTTTTGCATGAAGCATTCCATTGGTAACTCTAATTTTCTTGAAGAGATCTCTAGCCTTTCCCATTCTACTGTTTTCTTCTATTTCTTTGCACTGATCACTGAGGAAAGCTTTTTTATCTCTCCTTGCTATTCTTTGGAACTCTGCATTCAGATGGGTATATCTTTCCTTTTCTCCTTTGCCTTTTGCTTCTCTTCTTTTCTCAGCTATTTGTAAGGCCCCCTCAGATAACCATTTTGCCTTTTTGCAATTCTTTTTCTTGGGGATGGTCTTGATCACTGCCTCCTGTACAATGTCACAAACCTCTGTCCATAGTTCTTCAGGCACTCTGTCTATCAGGTCTAATCCCTTGAATCTATTTGTCACTTCTACTGTATAATGGTAAGGGATTTGATTTAGGTCATACCTGAATGGTCTAGTGGTTTTCCCTACTTTCTTCAATTTAAGTCTGAATTTGGCAATAAGGGTTCATGATCTGTGCCCCAGTCAGCACCCAGTCTTGCTTTTGCTGACTGTATAGAGCTTCACCATCTTTGGCTGCAAAGAACATAATCAATATGATTTCGGTATTGATCATCAGGTGATGTCCACATGTAGAGTCGTCTCTTGTGTTGTTGAAAGAGGGTATTTGCTATGACTAGTGCATTCTCTTCGCAAAACTCTGTTAGCCGTTGCCCTGTTTCATTTTGTATTCCAAGGCCAAACTTGCCTGTTACTCCAGGTAACTCTTGACTTCCTACTTTTGCATTCCAGTCCCATATGATGAAAAGGACAGTAGTAGATGTAACGGTCATCTGAATTAAATTCACCCATTCTGGCCCATTTTAGTTCACTGATTCATAAAATATCGATGTTCACTCTTGCTTTCTCCTGTTTGACAACTCCCAGAACTATGGACAGAGGTTCGTGACATTGTACAGGAAGCAGTGATCAACCATCCCCAAGAAAAAGAAATGCAAAAAGCAAAATGGTTGTCTGAGGAGGCCTTACAAATAGTTGTGGAAAGAAGAAAAGCAAAAGGCAAAGGAGAAAAGGAAAGATAAACACATTTGAATGCAGAGTTCCAAAGAATAGCAAGGAGAGATAAGAAAGACTTCCTCAGTGATCAGTGCAAAGAAATAGAGGAAAACAATAGAATGGGAAAGACTAGAGATCTCTTCAAGAAATTTAGAGATACCAAGGGAACATTTCATGTAAACATGGGCACAATAAAGGACAGAAATGGTATGGACCTAACAGAAGCAGAAGATATTAAGAAGAGGTGGCAAGAATACACAGAAGAACTATACAAAAAAGATCTTTATGACCCAGATAATCATGATGGTGTGATCACTCACCTAGAGCCAGACATCCTGGAATGTGAAGTGGGCCTTAGAAAGGATTACTATGAACAAAGCTAGTGCAGGTGATGGGATTATAGTTGAACTATTTCAAATCCTAAAAGATGATGCTGTGAAAATGCTGCACTCAATATGCCAGCAAATTTGGAAAACTCCACTGTGTGCTCAAAATTCTCCAAGCCAAGCTTCAACAGTACATGAACCATGAACTTCCAGATGTCCAAACTGGATTTAGAAAAGGCAGAGGAACCAGAGATCAAATTGCCAACATCCATTGGATCATAGAAAGATCAAGAGAGTTCCAGAAAAACATCTACTTCTGCTTTACTGACTATACCAAAGCCTTTGACTGTGTGGATCACAACAAACTTTGGAAAATTCTCCAAGAGATGGGAATACCAGACCACCTGACCTGCCTCCTGAGAAATCTGTATGCAGGTCAAGAAGCAACAGTTAGAACTGGACATGGAAAAACAGACTGGTTCCACATCGGGAAAGTAGTACATCAAGGCTATATATTGTCACTCTGCTTATTTAACTTATATGGAGAGTACATCATGCAAAATTCCGGGCTGGATGAAACACAAGCTGGAACCTAGATTGCTGAGAGAAATATCAATAACCTCAGATATACAGATGACACCACCCTTATGGCAGAAAGCGAGAAGAACTAAAGAGCCTCTTGATGAAAGTGAAAGAGGAGAGTGAAAAACCTGGCTTAAAACTCAAAGTTCAGAAAACTAAGATCATGGCATCTGGTTCCATCACTTCATGGCAAATAGATGGGGAAACAGTGGAAACAGTGGCTGACTTTATTTGGTGGGGGGGCTCCAAAGTCACTGTAGATGGTGACTGCTGTCATGAAATTAAAAGACGCTTACTCCTTGGAAGGAAAGTTATGACAAACCTAGACAGCATATTAGAAAGCAGAGACATTAGTTGGCCAACAAAGGTCTGTCTAGTCAAAGCTCTGGTTTTTCAAGTAGTCATGTATGGATGTGAGAGCTGGACTATAAAGAAGCTGAGTGCCAAAGAATTGAAGCTTTTGAACTGTGGTGCTGGAGAAAACTCTTGAGAGTCCTTTGGACTGCAAGGAGATCCAACCAGTCCATCCTAAAGGAAATCAGTCCTGAATATTCATTCGAAGGACTGATGCTGACGCTGAAACTCCAATACTTTGGCTACCTGATGCAAAGAACTGACTCATTGAAAAAGACCCTGATGCTGGGAAAGATTGAAAGAGGGAGGAGAAGGGGAGGATAGTGGATAAGATGCTTGGATGGCATCACCAAGTGAATGGACAGGAGTTTGAGTAAACTCCAGGAGTTGGTGATGGAAAAGGAGGCCTGGTTTGCTGCAGTCCACAGGGTCACAAAGAGTCAGACGTGACTGAGCAACTGAATTTAACTGAATTTACCTTGATTCATGGACCTAACATTTCAGCTTCCTACGCAATATTGTTTTTTTACAACATCGGACTTTACTTCCATCACCAGTCTCATCCACAACTGGGCATTGTTTTTGCTTTGGCTCAGCCTCTTCATTCTTTCTGGAGCTATTTCTCCAGTCTTCTCTGGAACTACATTGGGCACCTAATGACTTGGGGAGTTCATCTTTCAGCGTCGTATCTTTTTGCCTTTACATACTGTTCATGGGGTTCTCAAGGCAAGAATACTGAAGTGGCTTGCCATTCCTTTCTCCAGTGGACCATGTTTTGTCTGAACTCTCCACCATGACCCATCCATCTTGGGTGGTTCCACATGGCATGGCTCATAGTTTCACTGAGTTAGACAAGGATGTGGTCCATGTGATTAGTCTGGTTAGTTTTCTGATTGTGATTTCCATCCTGTCTGCCCTCTGGTGGATAAGAGGTTTGTGGAAGCTTCTTGATGGGAGGGACTGGCTGTAGGGCATTCTGGGTCTTGCTTTGATGGGCAGGGCCTTGCTCAGTAAATCTTTCATGTAATTTCCTATTGATGGGTGGGGCTGTGTTCCCTCCCTGTAGTTTAGCCTGAGGTCAACTATGGTAGGGGTAATGGTGACCGCCTTCAAAAGGACTTCTGCCAGCAGCTCCTGGAACTATTGTATTCCATGCCCCTGACCCTGCAGCAGGCCACTGTTGACCCATGTCTCCACTGGAACCTCCTGGAAACTTATAGGCAAGTGTGGCTGATAGTCTTCAAGATCGTGATTTAAAAAAAAAAGAAAAACAAAAGCTAATATAAGTCATTCTGGGAAATGGTGGTTTGACTTGAAATTGTAAGGTTAAAGACAACAGGATCAAGACATAAACTCTGTACTTTAGTTGGTAAATTGTTCCTCACAGGGGTGAAGGTTAACAGTTTGGAAACTGCTTTATATGCATATTGGAGTTGAACAACTAAGTAGGTGGGTGGTGGATGATATAAGCAAATTTCTGTCAAAGAGAAGATACAGAAAAGCAAGGGGTGTGCGGGGTTGGGGGGAGTGGGGCGCGGGGAGGAAAGGTTAGAGTGAGCCCAATGGTATTGAATCAGAATCCAAGACATCAATAACAAACCCATGTTGAGCTTTAAAAAAACAAAATACAGATGGAGAGATACAGAAGTTGCCTCTGGATATGTGTGAAAGTGTTAGCTGCTCAGTCATGTCCAAATCTTTGTGACCCCAAGGACTGTAGCCTGCCAGGCTCCTCTGTCCATGGGATTCTCCAGGCCAGAATACTGGAGTGGGATGCCATTCCCTTCTCTGCTGGATCATTCTGACCCAGGGACTGAACCTAGGTCTCCTGCATTACGGGTGTATTCTTTACCTTCTGAGGCACCAGGGAAGCCTCAGGACAGGGAAATGAACCCAGGCTTCAGTGATGAGAGCACCGAATCCAAACCACTAGACTACCAGGGAGTGTCACACACAGGGACGTGTGTACACAGAGGATAGGATAGTATATACATGTATTTCCTAGCTCTGTCTGCTTAGAGGGGCTACAAGCAGTGACATCCCAGTAGCAACAACCACACCCAGAGCCCAGATCCTGGTCTCTAAACCCATAAAAGGAACCAGCACTCCTCAGAGAAATGGCTGATTCTGGGGCTGAGGCAGAGAAGGCACTGGATGACCATCTTCTTGTAGTGCCAGAAAGTAAGGAGTTGCTCAAAACACAAAAGGATGAGTGCATGTCAAAGGGACATAGGAGTCAACCTGAAATAATTCCTAATGGCCAAAGCTAGAACAAATCAAGCCACAAAGCAAATGACTTAGTATTGGATTATCCATCCTCTTCAGGAGGTGGGGCTTAATTCCTGTCCACTTGAATATAGGCTGAACTTAGTGCCTCTCAGACACTCAGAGTGACTAGAACACGGAAATGGAAAATTAGTAACTTACACTAGAGACCTGGGTAGACCAAGGACAACTAAATGCCTGAGTATAAATAATGGAGAGGGGGTGGGGAGGTCTATATCAGTTTTTGTACATTAAGATTAAAAAATATATTTAATTCTTTCAAAGATATATGTATCCCACATTTCAGCAGATCTTTATTAATGATCCTACTGTAGTCTCACAACTCCTTCCCCCTATGTTGACTTGAGCATTGTTCCCTACACCAGGCCAGGCTGATGCTATTCTAATTGCCTATGTGGGGGCCCCTGAAAAGAGTCAGTTTCTTTAGTAAAGTCTTCTCCCCTCACTAAAGCATCACGGCATGAAATGACAGGTCCCAGAACACGTGTCATGGTGACCCATGCATGTTGGGGTCCTGCCCCCTCCATGAGTTCCACAACACTCTGGTTTCTGCTACTTCCTGTATGGACCCCTTACCTTTGCCCCGATTCCTTTCTTGTATACAGGACCACCAACTACTGACCAGATCTGTACCTTATCCCACTCTTCCCATGGCTGAGCCTCTGATCTGGGCTCTTTTGTACATCCTGCGAGGAGCTGTATTTAATGACAGTGGGTGATCACTGAAGATGATTAATGACTACCCAGAAATAGGTCTTATAGAAAAATTGCACACAGTCTGATGTTACAATATATTTAGATCCTCAAAAATTTTAGGAGATATAAAAAGAGCTTCAGAGTAATAAATCATAACAAGGTAATAAAGCAGAAATCATAACAACGCAAATAACATTATGGGTTGTCGTGATGGTCTAAGGTCAGCATCCATATGAGGTAGGCATTGTTATCCTCATTTTGTAGTTGAGGAAATTCAGGCTCAAAGAGGTTAAGCAATTTCTCAAAACCACGCAAGCAGTAGGTGGTAGCATTCAACATCTGTTCTGACTGTAAAGCCTAAACCTCATAGCCATTGTGCTATGCGTTCTCCTCTGAATTAAAAAACCTAGATTTTTTTATACCCTGTCTTACTAACCAGGAATAATTTTAAATATTCACAGTTTCCCTCTCTTCACTCTTCCTTTGTTTCCAAAGGAAATTACGTATCCTGTGAGTTAAGTATTATTCAAATATCAATTCCTCCTGTTAAACATCCCCTCCGGGTGACTAATGAATATTTCCTTGGGCGTTATCCATCAGATACTCCTTGCCAGCCAGTTCGCTGCTTCAGTTCTGATACCCAATCGGCACTGTCGTCTTCCTCAAAGTCCCTGTGGAAAAACAATTTGGATATTAAGCCTCTATTTAAGAAGCACAGTAAATATTTGTTAATGGGATCAAAGCAGAATACCACCATGACAATACTGACATTTTTGAAAAATGAACTCCATAATGAAACTGAAGAGAGGAAAAAAAAATGGTTAGCCTTCCAAAGGTTCACTTCTATCATTCTTTCTCTAAATGTTTCAATATAAAATCCATCTAAAAAAAAAAATCTTCTCTACTAAAAAGTAAGTCCAAGCTGATTATAAACACAGAGCTCGGTCAAGAATTCTATGAAAATACCACAGCACATTACCTGTGTCAGATAGACGATCAAGATATAAACATTCATTTATGATGTAAAGTAACATAACCAGCTCCTACTAAACCAGGAATTATTAAGGTACAACTTAAATGAACACGCGCACACACTGCCAACTGTCTGGGTACTTCACGTACGTATCCTCTTCATCCAGTTCAGGTTCAAGTCTCTCTGGATCCAAAGTGACAGAATCCCAACCTCCATCAACATCATCCGATGCTTCAGTTTCCTCAGACAGGGGGCCTTTCAAGAATCCTTCTGCGCCTTCAGAGGAATATTAACAGAAATTATGCCAAGTTAAGCTGTCTTTATTTATTTCATGTGTATTTTTGCACTAAATTCCTCCAAAGGTTTGCTGGCTAATTGAGAGCACTGCCAGGTTCTGAGGTTTTCTGTGTATGTGTGCTCAGTCGCATCTGACTGTGACCCCATAGACTGGAGCCTGCCAGGCTCCTCAGTCCATAGGATTTTCCAGGCAAGAAGACTGAAGTGGGTTGCCATTTCCTCCTCCAGGCGATTTTCCCAACCCAGGGATCAAACCCAAGTCTCCTGCATTGACGGGTGGGTTCTTTACCACTGAGTCACCATGGAAGCCACCATATGAACCCATATTAAAGCATTAAAAGTTGTCTTTGGACAGCTGGATAGCAGTTGACTGTTTCTCTTTTGAGCTCTTCCCTCTCCCTCATTTTCCCAATGGAGGGGAATAAAATTAGGGAGTTAAGGGCACATGCAGACTATAAAAAAATTCCAGATGGTATTATAATTACTTTCAGGTTTTTGCTTACAAAACAATAGCCTAACATAAAAATGTGGGTTCAGTCTTTATAAAAATCCTTTCACAATAGAGCTGTAATGCCTTTTTTATATAGTAACTTTCTTGAAATGACAAAAACTTTATCATTGGACCAGAGACAAAATCTGGGACCTATGCTGCTAAAAGGAAAGTCAATCATTGGGCGTTCCCTAAACATTCAGTGCTTAGGACTTTCTGGGGTCCAATCCCTAGTCAGGGAACTAAGAGCCCGCATGCCAACAAAATAAAAGTGCAATCACTAGCCTTGCTTAACACCTGCCTCCCCGGCATCCACCTCTCCTTGGGGCCCGTAACTGTCTTCACACAGCTCTATCAGAACATGTGACCCACAGCTCTACAATGCTCTGCTTGTTTGCTGGTCCTCCAAATTACAAACTCTCTCAGGGAAGGAGTTATATTCTTTTTTTTAAAAAAAATCTTAACCTAGTATATGTTAGGCACTCAAACACTGACCAAGTAAACAATACCGTGAATCTGTTATAATACACAGAGTTGAGACTTGCCACACCATGACATGCTCCACTTGGCACAATTTATCTTAGATCTTAAACCAAGCAAGATGGCTTTAGTAACTGCATTGTGAAAATTACACACACATGCGCCCCTCACGTACACACCCTTAATGTAGTCCTTTGGTCTAGATTCCTAAGGGTAGTATCATAAAACATTATGCTGTATAACTGTACTGAAAATGTCTGTTGAAACAAACAAAAATTAAATCCTAGTTGTTCACCTTCTTCTGTGTTCTATTCAATATAACAATTCAAGTACAGAGCCAAAGAAATCTTGAAGTTCCTCAGTTTACCAGGATGAAGTCTGAACTGCAGAGCCGAGAAAGTGGGGTGTATTTCCAGGATAAAAACGGACAAACTTCAAAGTGGTTACGAGATTATTATAAGCAAACAGGGACTTCCCTGGTGGTCCAGTAGCTACAAATCCATGTTTCCAATGCAGGGGGCCTGGGTTCGATCCCTGATGGGAGAACTAGATCCCACATGCCACAACTAAGACTTGGCACAGCCAAATAAAATAAATAGAAATATTAAAACAATAAAATAAGCAAACAAATGAGCAAACAGAAGGAATGAAGCACTATAAGAAATTCTAATTATGGCTTCAGACTGGCTAGAGAAGAGTCAAAGAAATCGAAAAAGACAATGCTCTGAAATATTTTATAACTTTAAGATTGAAGGGTTTCTGGGAGTGGGGAACAGGGAATCATCTAATGGGTACAGAGAATTATCTAAGGGGTACAGAGTGTCCGTTTTGGAAAAGTTCTGGAGATGGACCGTGGTGATGGCTGCACAGTATGGACTCCCTGCTCCTGAACTGTATGCTTAAAAGTGGCTAAGATGGTAACTTCTATGTCACATATATAATTTTTTTTTTTAATCAAAGGGTTTCCACAATTATGTAACAGACATGAATCACCTGGTCTATATATCGTGTATGTTTGAAAGGCCAAGCTGAGGTCAGCATTCTTAAGGATGTTCAACAGGGTTTCAGGGGTCTCCTTGAGCCACTGCTTACGGGTATTGCTTTCACTGTACTTTATTACAGAACCACCTAGTTGGGAAAAGACAAAAAAATTCGTGTCAAGTAAAAAAGATTTCCAGCACATAATATCTTCTAGATTATATTAAAGCCCCATATTTCAAGTGAAACTAATTAACTCTCTATGATCTACTTCACTTGCCTGTATAAGTGAAATACACGTGCTCTCATGTGTGACACCAAATACCCTTCAAAGAGTGACATTTAAAAAACCACAACTCTAGCTCATTAAACGATTAGAGAATGTTCTATGATAAAATAATAGGATTCAGTCTGGCTACTAACCTCTGTCGTCTTCTGCCGTTAAACTGGAGGTGAGTATGGATGCGTTTTCCAAAGCTCTAAGAGCTGTACTGGATACATTTTTCTCCCACTGTCGCCTGAGAGGACCTGGCAAACTGGCTTTTAAAGCATAAAGAATTGCTGAGCATATTTGTTTACTTATTCATCTATATCCACACACAAGTTCTCTAACAACACTACAGAAGTTATTTCTTTTCTCTTTCAAATTCGGATCTAACACTCTTCCAAGTCTAAGTTCAGTTCAGTCGCTCAGTTGTGTCTGACTCTTAAGTAGTAAAGGGAATGAAAATATCCAAATGGAAAGGTAAAGCTAATCGTTAAAGTGAATTTTTAAAAATATTATGTATATACTCATGTATTACACAATATATAACAATAAAGGCCAAGAGGACTTACAGGTACATGCTGTATGCCGTGCTTTTTAAAACATTTTTTGGCTGCACCCCACAGCATGTGGGACCTTCAATCCCTGACCAGGGATAGAACCTGCACCCCCTGCCTTAGAAGTCTTAACCACTGGACCACTAGGGAAGCCCCTGTATGCTGTGCTTTTTATGGTAAAGGGCACAACAAACATTATTAACACTTTTTTTTGAAGGCTCTTATCAATAAATACAATTTTTTCTTTTAATAGGCAAATAAAATATCTCTGTAACATTACATAAATTACTTGATAAGCAAATATAAGTATGCCTGTCTACTTGCTTATGATACCTCTGACCTAGTAAGATAGAAACTGGTACTCCCTCTGTATCCCCAGTTTCCCACCTAAACAATGATTAGAATTTGAATAACTTACCTTTCTCCTCTCTGTTTACTATCCTCGGTGCACTTTCAACCAAATTTTTATTAATGCTTTCTAAGTCGGTGTGGCTACACTTTCCACCCGGTTCTTCCCTTTGCTTTAAAAGAAATTTAAAACAAAGATTAAGATATTCTTGAACTGCTACAAAAAAAAAGGTAAACAAGTAGAGATAAACAGCTACTTAAACTTTAAAGATAAATGAATTAAACATTAACAACCAGAGAACCTCATACACATATGTACATTAAGAGCCATAACATCATATATGTGTGTATATTAAAAACCATGTATGTGCACATACATAGGCATATATATGTACGTTAAGTCATATACCTTAATAGACATTAATATCAGTCATTGCAAATATGAAGAAGATTTCTGTCATAAAAATGACAGAAATATTTGAGAGGTCTTTATAGAGAAAACAAGCAATGAAAAATTTCAGTATGATTTGCTATATTGGGCTTTTCAGGATGGAAATACCAAAATGAAACATTTTATAAAGTTATTTTGGGGCTTTCCTGGTGGCTCAGCAGTAAAGAATCTGCCTGCAGTGCAGGAGATGCGGGTTCAATCCCTGGACCAGGAAGATCCCCTAATCCCTAGGTCAGGAAAATCCCCTGGAGGGCATGGCAACCAACCCACTCCAGTATTCTTGCCTGGAGAATCCCATGGACAGAGGAGCCTGGCGGGCTACAGTCCATAGGATTGCAAAGAGTTGGACATGACTGAGCGACTGAGCATGTATGTACACAGAAAATTACCTTACAGATGGCGCTGGAATTATGATGGTCGAATTTATTATTTTTTCACTTTATGATGGTGTGAAAATGATAAATACTCACCAGAAACTGTATGTCAAGTTATGAAAGTTGATCTTTTCCCAGGTAAGCAATATGTCATATGATACCTTCTTGTGATGCTGGGTGGTGGCAGAGAGCTGAAGCTTCCACTCAGCCATGTGATCACAAGAGTAAACAGTAAATAATTCACTTACAGCCGTTCTGCACCCAGACAGCCTCTAATTTTTCACTTTCAGTTCATTATTCAATTCAGTTCGTGCTGAATTCAAAATTTAACAAGACTATCTCATGTCAAACTATCTCATGTTGACATGAGACAGTCAGCACTTTATTATAAAATAGGCTTTGTGTTAGGTGATTTTGCCCAACTAGAGAGTAATGGAAGTGTTCTGAGCACATGTAAGGTAGATTAAGCTAAGTTAGGAAATTTAGTAGGTTAGGTGCATTAAATGCATTTTCAACTGGGGGGGATGGGATTTCTACATCTTGATTGTGCTGCTGGTTATATGACCACATACAATCACCAAAATTCATCAAATTGCAAGCTAAAAATGAGTAAATTTTATTGCATATAAATTAGGCCTCAGTAAAGCTGGAAATAAACAGATATTACGCAAATAAAAAAAGCATGGGGCAGAAGAGATTCCATTTGTAGCAACCTAATGGGGTATGGTGTTATTTATTTACAACCTAAGGTTCATTCAAAAATTTACAAGTTTAATTACTAGTATATTGCATAAACAGAATTGCGTGTTGTTACTACATCTTTTCCTTTGAGAGTTAAAAAATGTGGGTCAAAATGATGAAGAAAGAAAAAATTATCAATAGGACATGAGTTACTGGGGTAGGTGTGGCAACTGGAAGTGGATTGGCTATTACTATTCATGACTTAACTGCAGCTAACATGTAAAAGGGCACAGATGCCTAAGGCCAAATGAGATGAACAGGACCTTGCAAACCAGGCTTAAAAATCTCCACTCAATTCATGGGATAATAGTGAGTGAAGTGAAAGCCACTCAGTCATGTTGGACTCTTTGCGACTCCATGGACTATACAGTCCATGGAATTCTCCAGGCCAGAATACTGGAGTGGGTAGCTGTTCCCTTCTCCAGGGATCTTCCCAACCCAGGGATCGAACCCAGGTCTCCTGCACTGCAGGAAGATTCTTTACCAACTGAGCTACTAGGGATAATGGAGAGGCACTAGAAGTTTTTGAACAGAAAAATGTCAAGACCACATTGTTGTTGTTCAGTCACCAAGTCATGTACGACTCGACATGACCATATAGACTGCAGCAGGCCAGGCTTCCCTGTCCCTCACCATCTCCCGAGTTGGCCCAAGTTTATGTCCATTGCATCGGTGATGCCATCCAACCATCTCCTCCTGTTGCCTTCTTCTCCTTCTACTTTCAATCCTTTCCAGATCCCACATTAACGATCTACATATTATTTAGTCATAAAAAGGAAAGAAATTCTGATACAGGCTGTAACACGTATGAACCTTGAAAATATTAAGCTAAGCAAAAGAGGCCAGACACAAAAGGACAAATATTGTGTGATTCCAGTTATCTGAAATATCTAGAACAGGCAAATAATGTTTCTTTCATAGAGACAGAAAGCAGAAAAGAGGTTATCAGGACCTGGGGTGGGAGTCAGGGTACAGAGGAATGGATAGTTACTGTTCAATGGGTTTCTGTTTGGGATGATGAAAAAAATTGTGAATGTAATTAATGTCATTAAATTCTATGCTTAAAATGGCTGAAATGACAAATGGTATGTTATATATATTTTACCACAAGGAAACCAACCAAGGCTAAAACAAGACTTTCATGACTGTAAGCAGGGCTAAGTTGGTTCACATCTAGATTGAAACCACTTGTCATCAATGATTAGAAATGAAAAAACAAAGTAAAATAAAATGCTGGTCTAAAGTGGCTTGGCTGGCAGCACAGAAAACAGCCGTCAATTACTTCACAGGCCCAAAGACAAAAAACCCCTGAACCCAGGGACCAGGCAACAGACTTCCAAATATCTCACAGCACCCAGTGATGCCAGGTACCCCAGTAGATGGTTTCAGAAATTTAACTTTTTTTTTAATTTAAGATTTTTTTTTTAATGTGGACCATTTTTAGTCTTTATTGAGTTTATTACAATTTTGCTTTAGTTTTTTGGCCACAGGCATGTGGGATCTTTGCTCCCAGGCCAGGGATCGAACCCACATCCCCTGCATTAGAAGGCCCTGGATTGCCAGGAAAGTCCCAGGAAATTTACCTTTAAAGCACTTACCACTGTGCTTGCTTCATTTTCCAAAGTTATTCTGGTTCTGCTGGGATCTGCTCAAAGAGAAAATAGAAGGTAAAAAGAAAACAAAAAAGGCTTCTAATGTGACTTGCATAAAGCTTGAGAGACAAAAGGACGTTTTTAAAGTCAAAGAACCGAAGCATTAGCCTGAATAGTGATATCAAGTTTTAATTGCCTAATAACACACCTCAGCTGTTAAAGAGATTATTTCTGCCATTTTATTCTGTGACCATCTGAAAGTTAAGACATCTTGAATTCATTTATGCCAACCCATTTAGGCATCAGGAGGTAAGACACTACATACTCAAAAGGTCATTAGCATCTTTAGCACAAGAGCTGCCCAGTCTGTGATTTTCCTGACAGCTATGACAGCAGGTGGAATAGCTAACCCTCCCAAGGCCAGCTGCTTATTCCGTGACAAGGAGCCAGCAGCAGTCACGGGAAACCCTGGCAACCACCCCTTGGGTGAGGATGGCTCTTGTCTGATTATCTGCTGCCAGAGCCTGGGGTCCGTGTTTCCCCATTCATTCAGCGTTTTAAGCAATTGCTACTGAGCATCTATGATGACGGTATTGAGGCCACAACAGAGCACATCTGACACAGTCCCTGCCCTCACTCAGCTTTCGTTGTTCTGACGTCTCACTGTCTACATTCTCGATGGAGATGCCACCCGACACAGGCTCTGGACATGGTGGCCCTGCCACTGGCTTACTCTTTTCTTTTAGAAATTGTAAGACTATACTTTCCTGTCTTGAAACTACACTATCTTGAAATTTTCTTAGACTGTTTTTGGTGCTTCTGTTGCCCAGTATTTTAAAATTAATTTCCCACTCCCCTGGGATGTGAACCGAAGTTATGAAATGGTACATAAAATAAAATAAAATAAATACTAAAACAAACTGCTGAAGCAAAGCCAAGTGGCTACCTCTTACATAAAGGAGAAAAGGCTGAATTGTAAGACTGGATGATTTACGTTCTTACAAAAGGAACATTTAAAATTTGACTTTAAGAAAATAGTATAGTTTAGAAAAGTTTCTGTGGAAACCAACAGGACACAATAAATCAACGACACTTAAATTTAAAAAAAAACCTAAAAAATAAAATAAAAATGTTTCTTTTGTGGTATAGAACACTAAGATAACAGGCACTAATAATGGAGGTTTTACAACATCTGCCTACAGAGGGTGACCTTTTACTCAACTCTTCTCTCTTATTCTGGTCATTGTTAGATTTCTTCAGATTGAAGGTCTGAGTCACTGATGTCAAAGGAAAAGGAACAAAAATAACTTTGAAAAAAGAGATGACAACTGCCAAGAGACAATAAATTACATGTGAAATTTGCTCAGGATTGACAATAGGTGTATGGAAATTTTATGCAGTTGTAATGTGGACAGTTCCAACTTTCAAAATGAGTTCATTAAAAAAATTTGTTTATAAGATAGTTCTTATGGATACCATTTCCTATTACATTTTCAGGATTAGATTCCTAGCTGAGGTCACAGAAGCCTTCTTTCTGACCCAAAACAAACTAGAGTAAATACAGTTCTAATAATGAAGCAGAGAACAACCTTTACATCACTACAATCTCCAAACTAGGCTTTTTTTTTTATCCCTGGCAAACTAAACGTGTAAGATTCAGTATAGATTTATGTCTGAAGGAACAAGTAGAAAATTTTTATTTGAGGAGTACCTCTGAAAATCATCTCTAATAACTTGAAAATTATATTTTTTTCCTTTTTGTTATACTATATTTTAAAAGAACACTTAAAATAAGCTTTTCAAAATTCTTACCCTTTTTTCTTGGTGTACTATGTATAGATTTTTTGGTTTCTTCTAACACCTGTTCACCGTATTCTGTGATGATCTGAAAGTTTAAAGCAGAGAATTTAAAGACATGAAAGATGCTTTTCTTTAGATACCACCATAATGTCATTCAATTATCAATGTTCTTCCCCACAGTAATAAAGTTGAAAGGGAAAAATGCCATTTAAAAAATCCAAGTAATTTAGATAGACAGATAAACAGACATTTATATATGTCAGGAATATCTGGAAGGATAATGCAAACTATATCCATGATTATATTTTAGGAATAGCATTGTGAAAAGAAGAGGGAAAGGAAGCTTCAAGCTTTTAATTTTTTTTTAGTACACATCTGCATTATTTGAATTGTTAAGAGCATGTGTAACATGTAACTGTGTTTAAAAGAAAACAAACACTTGAAAACTGGTTCACAGTCAGTTCCACACACTGTACCTCTGGGGGCAGGCACTGCTGGATAAGCCGAGCGAAAGAGCCTCTAGAGAGAAGCGTAGTGGCTGAAGGACGATGTGAGGGATTCTTTTTAAACATCTGCTTGATCAGAAGCTGCAGCTCATAGGAATAATGGGATGGCAGTGGGCTCATGGACCCCTGACATATCTTGAGGATAAGACTTTTCCAACTATTTGCCTGAAACTAAAAAGCAAAATTGAACTGTAAAAGCAGATACAGGGAAAGAGAATGGAAATAAGAAAATACCAGCTGAACTGAATTCAGATGAATTATTTTAATTAAAACAAATTTCTTTCTAGAGGTGTTGTTGAGGTACTATTCTGAATTTTTTTTTTTTTTTTGCTAATCATACTTTTTCTTAGTACTTCAAAAATTGTATTTTATTGAAGCATAGTTGATTTACATGGTGTTAAACTGCTGCTATATAGCAAAGTAATTCAGTTATACATGTGTATACATTCCTTTTTATACTATTTTCCATTATGGCAAGCCACTCCAGTGTTCTTGCCTGGAGAATCCCATGGACAGAGGAGCCTGGTGGGCTGCAGCCAATGGGGTCGCACAGAGTCGGACGTGACTGAAGCAACTTAGCACCAGCACCATTATGGTTTTATCACAGGATACTGAATATAGTTCCCCATGCTATATAGTAGGACCTTGTTGTTTAATTCAAATGTAATGGTTTGCATCCGCTAGTCCCAAACTCCCCCACCCCCCACCCCAGTACTATTCTAAAATCTTATGGTTGTTCAGGAGAAAGGTAAACATAAATAGCAAAAGATGTTCCCGTCTTAAGGAAGTCTTACCATCAGTACCAGCTTGGTTTACTTTATTACTCAAATCAGTGTTTCTGCAGATACACATTTTTAATATATTTTAAAAATCAAAACATCAATAATACATATATATGGGCTTTTAAAAATTCAAATGACCCTAGGGCTGACAGTAACTGCAATGTTTCTTCACTTCCCTCCTCCTCAAAAATCCCCAGGTCTGCTCCCTGACAAAATGCACTTTACACTTTTCCCATTTTAAACTTCTGCTGCAAAATCCTTTTTACCTTTCATGTCACCAGGGTAGTTATTATGGTTTGACAAGTAATAGAGTGGGATATAAAATGACACACCAGAATAACATTTTAAAAGTTTTCACTATATAATAAACATACTGCAATTAACATCAGGTTTCAGCCTTAGCAACACTTATGTAAGAACATGATGGCATCCTGCCTTGGGGATGTATCACCTTATTAATACATACAAGTGAATATATGAAAAAGGACTTAGCCCCAAACAACCAAATGCTGCCTCTTCCAAGCTGCATGCCATACTTACTGGATGCTTAAGGGTACAGAGTTCATAGAGAATGCATCCCAAGGACCAGATGTCACTGGAAGCAAAAGAAGCAATGTGATGATGAGTGGGTTATGAGTTATCACACAAAAATATAAGTATTTTCCAATACCCCAAAATGAAAAATTACTCTACCTTTAATAAGAACAGATATCATAAGGACTTCTTAGTTACTGAAATAAAATATGCAGCAAGTCTGATCTACCACTTAAGACCACTTACTCACAGTGATGTTCACAGAAAAACCCCCTGCTCCCCAAACCCTGCCCCTCCAAATCCAGTGGTTCAGGTATCACTTCAGTAGTACCTGGGGCAAGAGGAATATCCGTGGACTCAGATTACCATAGTTGGAAGAAGGGCTTTAGAAGTCATCCTGTACAGCCTCCAGACCATCTGGGCTCACCAGGCCTTTGGTCTCACCTCAATTGACAGCTCAGTGTTCCCCTAGGCTGCCCCTAGGGGGCGCATTCTTATTCTTATTCTTCTACAAAAGAGCTCAGCAGAGTTCTACACTTTGCCCTACACGCCCACCCTTCTTCAAACTAAACACCTCCACTTTCCTCCATCATTCTCACCACCTAGTTGTCATCCTCCAGACTTCTTCTAGATGATAATCTTTTCACTTTAACAAGGTTTTTTTAAAGCCAATTATTTCCCCCAACTTTTAATTTTTCAAAGCTTGCAACCTACCGAGAAGTTGTAAAGGCCCAAACGCTCCTTCCTAATATCCCCAGTCATTAGCATCTGCCTGCTGGCCCCTCTTCTGCCTACATCTGAACCTCTTGAAAGAAAAGTTTCAGACGTCAAACACTTCACCCCTAAAAATGTCAGCATATCCAGCCTAAGAGCAAGGACAGTCTCCTGCATGAATATAGTACCATTATCACATCCAAGAAATCGAACTTTAATTCAATACTATTATCTAGTATTTTGTTCAAACTCAGGTTTCCCCAATTATCCCCGGAAGTTCCTTCATAGCTGTTCTGTCTCCAATTCAGTCAACTTTACCTTACAGGAGTCTATTTAGTATGGAGCGCTGTTGTCGTTTTTAGTTGCTAAGTTGTATCCGACTCTTTTGCAACCCCATGGACTGTAGCCCGCCAGACTCCTCTGTCCATGGGATTCTCCAGACAAGTTGCCATTTCCTTCTGCAGGGGATCTTCACAACCCAGGGATCAAACCCACATTTCCTGTATTGGCAGGTGGATTCTTTACCACTGAGCCACCTGGGAAAGCCCACAGTATGGGTTGCCATACCCTTTTTAGAAAGCTACTTGGCAGGAGGTAACAAAAGCCTTTAGGTGTTTCTACTTCTAGGAACTCATGCCAAGAATGTGACACTTTTATGTATTAAAAGGCATAGTAATTCAGAGTGTGTAGTAATTTAGGACACTGAAAACTAGAACCATATCAAAAGCCAACAACAGAGGAATGTGAAATAAATTTTGGAAGAGCCATATATTAAAATATTATGCAATCATTAACAATAATCATGAAGAGTATAAATACAGGGTAAAATGAATATGATATAATAATGCAAAGTGAAAAAATAGGATACTAAACTATATAGAGTATATAAACTAAGTTTAGGGAAAAAAGGGAACAGATGGGGAAAAAACCCAAAATGTTATTAGTAGTTTCTATAAAATTGGGTGATCGCCATGTCCTTTCTTTATCTCTACATTTCTAACCCACCCACTGCCCATCCATTCCATCAATGAGCACATTTTACTTACATTCAGAAAAAAAAAAGTACATTTTAAATTATAAGGACTTCATACTATCTTCTCATGATCAACAAACCTATCAGTCAAGTGCTTATTATCTAGCCCTTTACATGTCAACTCAATGACATTTGGTTCCCAAATTTTGCTGCACATAGGAATTACTTGGTGATCCTGGAAAATGATTGATACCTGGTTCCCACTCCCAGACATTCATATTTAACTGGGATGGCTACGACCTGAGCTTCGGGATTTTTAAAGTTGAGAGCAGCAAAGTAAAAGAAGCAGTAATATAATTCATACTATCCCCAGAAATGATTAATTTTTCTTTCAGCATTTACATGTAGCTCCTCTCAGCTCGGATGAAAATAGCTGGAAAATTTATGACTTTCACCTACAGGCCTAGGAACTTCAATTCTACACTGCTTTCTTTTAACAACCAAACTTCATCTGTAGGCTATAATACTATCACCAAACGGTCACCCCTTCCCCAACTACATACATCACTTACCTTTTATTGTTATAAGGCATGTTTTCCCAAATTTCTGGGGGCACATAATAAGGTGTTCCCACGTATGTACAAGCAAACGCCATGGGGCTAAAACCATAAAAAGGTACAGAACGATTACAGAGCATTTCTGAATAATGATGTTTTGGCAACAGTCACTACTACAGAAGAGAAAGAGACATACATACCTCGAGAGAAGACGGGCAGATCCAAAATCACCCAGTTTTACTTTTCCGTCTTGGGTGAGGAAGATATTCTGCAATGAAAGAGAAGAGCTCAGATCACATCGGCCATCTTTCAAACATACGGCAGAGAGGTCCAAGAAAAGCTGTCTTTCAAAGCCTGCTGATGGTGGAGAATTATATGTAGAAATGCTGATAGCCAAGTCCCCGAATGGAACACAAAACGATGAGATATCCTCTGGACAGTGACATTCCCCTGCTTGGGAATTCAGGATGACTGCTTAGAAATCTAAGGCAAGCGTCACACCGTATCAGCAGACCCTGATCAGCCAAGCAGGGAGCCCGTTCAGGGTAACTCCAGATGGCAGACTCCAGTCTCAATCATTTTCCATCTGAGAATACATGGTCTTAGGAAGCAGTCTCTAAGAGAGCTGGAACATATTAACATACACTACTAAAGAGATTTACTGACCCATTTTCAGGTCGTACCTTACCGTGCTAGCATAAATATTATATTAAGAAATATTTCTGGACTTCCTTGGTGGTCCAGGGGTTAAGAATTGGTGCTGCCAATGCAGGGTGCATGGGCTCAATCTATGGTTGGGGAACTAAGATACCACATGCCTTGGGGTGCAGGCAAAAAAAAAAATATTTCTAAAGATTAAAATGCACCCAAAAGAGAATAACACAGAAAAAGGATTGAAAGAAATAGGTTTAAATTATTTTTTAGGCCCCAAATATATTCCATTCACCTTGGATTTGATGTCTCTGTGTAACACACGTTTCTTGTGAATGTGATTTACTCCAAGACACATCTGTGTAAACCAATGAAGTATCTGTAAAAAAAAAAAAAGAAAGAAAGAAAAAAGCATGCAAGAATGCAATAACTGGGGCATGGTAACCCCAAATTCCTAAGAATCATCTTTAGGCCTTAGCTGACCTGGGTTTTACATAATGTAAATACAGAACTCCTAAAAATTACATCGTTCAACTAAGATTCATTGCTGTCTGGAGAAACTGAGAAAAGCTGTGAATCAATCCCAATGTATCATCATCTCATGAATGATCCAAATAACTATTTATTTATTTATCTGGCCCTGCCATGCAGCCTGCAGGATCTTAGTTCTCTGACCAGGGATTGAACCAGGGTCCTTGGCAGTGAAAGGGTGGAGTCCTAACCATTGGACAACCAGGGAATTTCCAACAATTTATTTTAATAAAACTCCCACTATATTTTTCTTGTATTTAACCAAATAAAAATATTTTTTAAATACACATATAAAAGTAGTTCACCACTTAAAATGAATATGCTATAACTTTTTATAGTGTAATCATTACATCAGATTCATTCACTTTTTCAGAATATTCAGATATTAACATTAAAATATTTCATTATATTTTCAACAATCTTTGGAAGCCAAGGCTGGCCTCCTACAATGGAACTCATATTCTTAGCAACACAACTTCTAAATGAAAAATATTTATCCTAATATATTCTTAAAACATGTTATACCCTATATCAAATTTAGCCCCAGTAAAGCTGTTTATTTAAATATTTTCCTCGGTCAATTCATTCCAATAATATTTAATATGCAACTTTCCACTAAAAAGACACTAAGCATTTAAAGAGAATATGTTAAACTGTAAAAGAAAAGAGACGAAGAATAGGGACTTTTGAAAAACAGAAATGCAAGTTTCACCCTTCAGATGATGGAGAATTACAAAAGAAATCCATGTGCCTTCTAAAATTTCAATACAAAAAGTAAAAATTTTAAATATCTAGTACAAAATATGATGGATATACCTACTTTACCTCTTAAAAACACCCCAGGCAGTCACATCCTGACAACACACTAAAGAACATCATGGATACACAAAGTCATTTCTAACTAATGTGCTAGGTAACCACAGATAGCAATGTTTTTAACTTTCAGATTTTACGAGCAAAGTTGCTCCTAAACCTTGAGAGAAACTTGGGGACTCCTCTGGCGGTTCAGTGGTTAAGACCCTGCTTCCACTGCAGGGCACACGAGTTTGATCCTTGGTCAGGGAACTAAGATCCTGAATGCTGCCTGGTGGGCTTCCCGGGTGGCTTAGCTGGTAAAGAATCCGCCTGCAATGTGGGAAACCTGGGTTCGATCCCTGGGTTGGGAAGATTCCCCTGGAGAAGGGTACAGCTACCCACTCCAGTATTCTGGCCTGGAGAATTCCATGGACTGGATAGTCCATGGGGTTGAAAAGAGTTGGACACCACTGAGCAACTTTCACTTTCAATTTCATGCTTCCTGGTATGGCCAAAAAAAATATTAAAACAAACAAAACTTTGAGGGAAACTTAGATAAGTTAGTCTCTTACCGTATCTTCAGGAAACAACTTCCCTTTCTGATGTTTAATCTTCTGCATTAGGTCCCCTCCATCACAATATTCCATTATAATGTACAGATGTCCTTCAGCTGCAACAAATTAAAGATTCTTAGGAAAGTCCCAGTGGCCGTGTATTCTGAATGAAATTCAGAAATGCATGTATTGGGGGAAATTCATATTTACCTTCAAATGATTCTTTAAAGGCAACAATATTGGGGTGTTTCATTTTGGCTAACAGAACAGCCTCCTTCCTAGAAATCCGTGTGTCAGACAAAGACTAGAAGAAGGTTTAAAGAAGTGTAAATGTAGTATTTCATTTAAAAACTGACAGTATGATAGTAAAACAGTTATTATAGTAACTTGTATGATATTTTAATGTGACACAATTGAAACTGTGTCTCTTTCAATCAGACATAATTTTATAGCACTGTTCAGTTCAGTCGCTCAGTTGTGTCCGACTCTTTGCAAGCACTGTACTTTGACCCAACTTAAGGTTTATCAAATCCCAAGAGGAAACATGTGGGGATTTTTCAACTGTGGCTATACGTATTTTGCCTGCTTAAGCTGACCTCTTATATCTTTACAAGTATAGAATGTAAACTAGTTTTAACATCAACCTAGGCATAAGCTGATTTGGAGGACAGTATGCCATCAACATAGGAGCTTCCTGGGTGGGGAATTCCCTGGTGGAGAGCATGGTGAACCACTAAAGTATTCTTGCCTGGAGAATCCCATGAACAGAGAAGCCTGGTGGGCTACAGTCCATAGGATGACAGAATCAGACACAATCGAAGTGAATGAGCACGAGCAGGAAGCACAGAAGACAGATCAAGACCTTGTAAAGCTGATGAATAAACCCGTTAAATCTTTTGCACAGAACGATCCCATGTTAAATTTCAAGAACTTGTACAAACGACATGTACACTTTCAACATGAGCTAACTGCTTTAGCAGTGACCTTGGGAAGCCTTATTTCCTTCATGGCAAACATCCGATTACTGCTCTCCTGCTGAACCAAAAGGGCTCTGCCGAAGGAGCCCTCCCCGATGACGCTCAGGACCCTGTAGCCGTCCATGCCGGGCACCACACAGCTGGGTCTGCTCCCGCCGTCACCACTGGGCCTCCCAGCCTGCATTCAAAATCAGAAACAACGGGGAATTAAATTTATTTTCAAAAGGCAGAATGAATTCAAAGTAGCTCTATCCCCAAGATAGAACAGCTTATTCCCTTTATTCATTCAACAGGTGGACATGGAGTATCCACGCCAGGTTTTATAATCCTGAATAAATCTCTCATGGCCCCAGCAATCACTCACATTCCAGGTGAGACCACGGACCTCAAAGATGCAGGACAGTGGGTCTTACAGGAAGAGCCATGCTGGCCTCTGGTAGAGGTAACCTGGGGAATTAGGAAGATGATATTCAGGCTGAAGCCTGAATGGAAGCTATCTAGGCAAAGAGGAAGAGTGATGGAGGCAGGAGGGAAGAGCCTATTTAAAAGCAAAAGAGATTGTTTCAATTCAAGGAATTGAAAGAGGGCAGTAAGGCAGGTAAGGCAGACTGGGCCTAGTAAGCCAAGCTCAGGTTGGTGGATTTTTAGCATATATGCTACTGAAGCAGCACAGGTTGGTGGATTTTTATCCTGCAGTGAAGAACGGGCTCTCTGAAGGGTTTAAACTGAGAGAGCAGATTTACATCTTAGAACAATTACTCATGCTAGCTGCAGAGCAATGGACCAGACAGGGGAGAGGGGAAGAAGGCCGGAGCAGGACTCCTACCACAGAAAAGGCAGGAATATGATGGACAGAATAGGGAAGTGGCAATGGGGATGAAGGGGGATTCCCAGATGGCTCAGTGGTAAAGAATCCGCCTGCCAATGCAAGAGACTTGGGTTCGATCCCTGGGTCAGGAAGATCCTCCAAAGAAGGGAATGGCAACCCACTCCAGTATTCTTGCTTGGGAAATCCCATGGACAGAGGAGGCTGGTGGGCTACAGTCCATGGGGTCGCAAAATCTGACACGACTGAGCATACACACACACATGAAATGGGGATGAAGACAACAGGAAAGAAGCATGTGAAAGAACTGGCAAGACCTTGGGAGTCTGGTAGGGTGTGGTGGGGAAAGATGTGGAGAAGACGTGCTTCTTTGGGGATACGCTGAGTTGGAGGTGCCTGGGACAAAGAAGACATGTTAAACAGAGTCCTTGAACCTCAGTCTTCCTTTATATTTCCTGGGTGGAGCAGCTTGCTGGATCTCCTAATACATTAGAGAAGATGAATATAAAGTTCCTAACACTTTGCCTGGTACATAGGGGGCCCTGAATAAATGGCAGCTATTATTAGTATTTGGGGGCTTCCCAGATTATTTACCTAGTGGTAAATAATCACTGTCAATACAGGACACAGGAGACACGGGTTCCATCCCTGGGTTGGGAAGGGCCCCTGGAGAAGGAAATGGCAACCCACTCCAGTGTTCTTGCATGGAGAATCCCATGGACAGAGGAGCCTGGCGGGCTACACAGTCCATGGGGTCGCAGAGTCCCACGCTACCTAGCGACTAAACAACAAACTCACTAAAACAAAACAAAACTGCACAGTATATGCTCTGAATGTGACAAAAAGCGTTCCTTCCCAAGCCTATACCGATCAAAAGCTAATACAGTAATTTGCTAATGAAAATATAGGATGCAGTATGGAAGGGGTGCGCGGTCCGATCCTCACTCCCCGAGAAGCCGCTCCGCCTCGCAGCCCGGCCCGCGCTGCCCCCGCGACCCCTGGGCCTGGGTCCGCAATCGCCGGAGCATGGGTCCCGCTTGCCCCCTCCCTGCGTGTGCGCCGCCCGCTCCCAGCCCCACGCCCGCCGGCTGCTCTCGCGCCCGCGGAGGGGGTTTGTCCAGACGGACCGCTCACCCGTTTGCCCGGCTTTCCCCGCTCCCCGGGTCGGTCGGCTCCCGGGTCCCGAGCCGGGAGCGCTTCCGGAGGGCGGGCCAGCGGGTCGTCTCTCGGGTTGCCGGCGAAGGAAGCGTCCTGGGTCGGTCGGGCGGGCGGCGCTGTTCTCATCTCAGCCTGGCCCACGAAGGGTGCGTTTTCAAAGAGCTGTTCCACGTCGCTCCAGAACAATGCCAGTAATATTAAGCAGAAGTGTCCTTCTCATAACCCAAATTCTGTCTCCAGTTTAAGCCAACCGTGCATGTAGGTAAGTTTCATGGGCGCAGCACTCAGCTTCACCAGTTGTGTGAACTTGGGCCAGTGTGGGACCCCATCAGGGGTCCCCCATAAATAGCCACACCTATCTATTATTATAAATAACATATACAAATTATGAGGAGCAGGTTCTGTTTAAGTGAGTTTTACATGTAAAGTGTGTAGAATAGGTTATTCAGTCTTCAAAACAGCCCTAAAGGTAGGTACTATTTTTATTTCAGGTCCCACAACTGAGTGGTAGAATCAGAATCCAGGCAGTTTGGCTCCAGAGTCTGACACTGCAAGAATGTCAGAGATGTTGCAATGATCAACAGTCTCAAAAGTTGGCCGAGTTACAAAGTCTGAAGAGAGCATATCGTGTTTAGCAACAGAACGTCATAGGTGATCTTGAAGAAAGTAGTCTGGATGCGATGAGGGAGAAGATTACAATAGTTGAAGTGGGCCTGTCAAAGGAATCAAGGACCATAAGATATTTTCAAGATACTTGGCCATAGGGACTGGCCGTGTGGTCCAGTGGTTAAGACTCTGGGCTCCCAAAGCAGGGACCCGGGGTTTGATCCCTTGTCAGAGGAATAGATCCTACTTGGCACCACTAAGACCTGGAGTGACCAAATAAATATTTAAAAAAAAAAAAAAGATACTTAGCCATAAAGAGAAGGAGAAAGGGTGATAACCATGGGGCAGAGGAAAGCCCAAGCTTATATACAAGTATTCTGTTAATGGGGAAATTGTAGTTATGTGTTGACGGATAATATAAAACAATGGGAAGGAAAGAGAGGCTGAAAATCCTAGAGGCAGGGGAAACAGGAAGGTCTAGTTGAGATGAAGAGGTGGCTTCTAGAGCCCAGGAAGAGGATTAGCCTTGGACTAGATGAGGAACAAACACGTTTGCTTTGAAGACCAGCAGAGGAAATAAAAATGTGGATGGATGTACATAATATTAGAGAAAAAAAAGAAGGAGAAGAAATCTCGACAGTCTCCATTTTCTCTATGAAATAGAAAATTGTCATCTATAGACTTTGGAAATCTTGAAGCAGAAGATTTTTTTAAGTCAGGATTTTTTAAACTTATTTATTAGTTCTTATACTTCTTTATTTTATACAGTAAAATTCTGAGTGGTGAAGTTTTGAATATGTTTTCAAAACACAAGTTGAAGCTATTGTGGTCAAAGGTGACAGAGCAGCTGAGAGGTGATTCCTGTCCACAGTTATGTAGTTGTTTCCAGGAGTGAGAATTTTGAATCACCCTGATCCTGGGATTATGCAGTTAACAGAACTATACTAGGACTGGGCTTCCCCAGTGGCTCAGCAGTAAAGAAACTGTTTGCAATGCAGGAGACCCAGGAGACACAGTTTTCAATCCCTGGCTCAGCAAGATTCCTCTGGAGAAGGGCATGGCAACCCACTCCAGTATTCTTGCCTGGAGAATCCCATGGACAGAGGAGCCTGGCGGGCCACAGTCCATGGTGTCGCAAAGAGTTGGACACAACTGAAGCTACCGAGTACAAGCATGTTAGGACTGGGGAGCTAAGGGTGCTGATATTAGGGTGACTGACGTGACACACCTCAGGGTCTAGACCGAATATCCCTGTGAAGGAAGTGAGTGGAGAATGGCACCATCTAGTCTGTAGGCTCTACTCATGCGTGGCTCCTGAGCACATGAAAAGTACTGCTGGTGCAAATAGAAATGTGCTGTAAGTGTAAAATACACACAGGATTTCAGAGTGCCCCAGCACTTAAGAAAATAAAATCAGGTGGTGATGGCTGGCCACAGAATTCCTCCCCACTGGTTGGGAGCAAGGCAAGAGTTCTTGCCAGCCCATTCCTGTCAGAATTTCACCGGGGGATTTTAGCTTATTTATAAGAGAAAGAAAGAAAAGGCATAAATATTATAATGAAAGAAATAATATTGTCATTGTTTACAAATGATAAGATTATATGTGTGAAAAATAACCTACAAATGAAATAACCTACTAAATGAATTTGGTGAGACTAGTAGATGAAAGATAATGCTCAAAATTTTATTGCATTTATTTATGCCAGTTTAGAAAAAAGTAAAATACCAAAGTGAAAGCGTCAGTTGCTCAGCTGTGTCCAATTATTTGCCACCCCATGGCCTATAGCCTGCCAGGCTCCTCTGTCCATGGAATTCTCCAGGCAAGAATACTGAAGTGGGTTGCCATTTCCTTCTCTAAGAGGATCTTCCAAATGCAGGGATCAAACCTGGGTCTCCTGCATTGCAAGCAGATTCTTTTCCATCTGAGCCATCTGGGCCCAAAATTTAAAAAAAAAAAAAAGAAGTAAAATATTCCATTGATCATTTTGTGTATTGATTAATGAGCTCCCCTGGTGGCTCAGACAGGATAGAAGACCCTGGCAGGCTACAGTCCACGGGATCACAAAGAGTCGAACATGACTGAGCAACTTCACTTCATATTGATTAATACTGAACTGATATTTTGAATAAAACATGATGAAATTTAATTGTATCTGGGTTTTTTTTATCTTTTAAAAAATACTAGAGGGAATTCCTGGTGGTACAGTGGTTAGGGCTCTGTGCTCTCACTGCCAAGGGCTCAGATTTAATCTCTGGTCGGTAAACTATCCCACAAGCTACTTGGTACAGCCAAAAAATAAAAATAAATGAAAATAGAAATTGGCCTAAATGGTCTCGATGATGAGCTAGAAGGTTTGAATGAAGTCAAAGAACCACCATGGAGGGAGCAAGGGAGACAGCTGGCAGGAAGAGGAGTCACGAAGAGAAAGGGACCACAGTCTTAAAGATTTTGGAGGTGGTGCCATTCTTTGGGACCCAAAACCCGTGTAGGAATCCATGTAGGAATTGCTGAAGTGGGAGGCACAGTTCATTGAAGTGAGAGGTGAGGTTCATTGGAGGGCATTACCAGGGAGAGACAAGCTGGTTCAGGGTTTCTCTCAGTCTTGTTGACAATTTGGACTGGATAATTCTTTGTTATGGGGGGGGTTGGTGGTGGTGGTTGCCTTGTGCTTTTTAGGTTCTTTAGCAGTATCTCTAGGACTTCCCTGGTGGCTGAGGTGGTAAAGAGTCTGCCTGCGATGCAGGACACCTGCGTTCGATCTCTGGGTCAAGAAGATTCCCCTGGAAAAGGGAATGGCAACCCGCTCCAGGATTCTTGTGTGGAGTATTCCATGGACAGAGGAGCCTGGTGGGCTATATCTGTGGGGTTGCAAAGAGTGGAACACAACTCAACAACTGAACAAGACACAACAATCTTATCCACTAGTCCACCAGGGTAGTCCTCCCTATGTTTCAAAAGGACCACCAGTGTAAGTCTAGGAAAAGAACTGTTCTTTAGGTGATAATAACATAGTAGGCAATTGCATAGTAGGCTTCCCAGGTGGCACTACTGGTAAAGAACCCACTTGCCAATGCAGAAGACGTAAGAGACCTGGGTTCGATCCCTGAGTCAGAAAGGTCCCCTGGAGAAGGAAATGGCAACTCACTCCAGCATTCTTGCCTGGAGAATCCCATGGACAGAGGATCCTTGTGGGCTACAGTCCATGGAATTGCAGCAAGTTAGACACGACTGAAGTGACTGAGCAATGCATGCAGACAGTTGCAGGCAGCACCTTCAGCTTTGCAGCAAATGGGTGTACAATGAGCAAGTAGGAACCAATTACAGCCTAGTTTCTCTCCTGATAAGCCATGTAGATACAACATTTTCAAAATATTAAACTGATATGATGTCTAATGACCTTTGAATCTCAAAGTTAATTTTCCTGAGTTCCTCATGAGATAATAGTTTCAAACTCCAGGTATTGAAAAAAAAAAAGATTGTCTTAATTTTATAAGCTCCACCCTGTGTATCAGGTGAGTTAGGTGATAGCATAGTTTCACTGGAAGCAATGTATTCAGAAATGACGAAGATCAGAAGGGCAGTTTCAAGCAAGCATGAAACTTATGAACTTCTGAAACACTGACGAAAAGGAATTGTTCAGACTTGAGGATCAGCTCCACTTGGTGTCAGCTGGGGTAGCTTGAAGGCTGGGAGGTGCATTCATCTGAGAGCTCGCTCACCCATGTCTGGCACTTGGGCCAGGAGGCTAGCGTGGCTGGCGCTAAGCCTCTGGCTCCATGTGCTTAACTCTGGAGTTGAAAACCCCATCACCCACAATACCTGCTCCTCCATAGTGGCTGGAGTTACATTTTTATTTTTCAGTTGGGATCCTTGTGTTTTTAAATATAAGGGTATACTCTTTAGAGGTATTGTTGTTGTTTTAGTTGCTAAGTTTTGTCCTTTTTGCAACCCCATGGACTGTAGCCCACCAGGCTCCTCTGTCCATGGGATTTCCCAGGCAAGAATATTGGAGTGGGTTGTCATTTCCTTCTCCAGATCTTCCCGACCTAAGGATCTAACCCACATCTCCAGCCATTGCAGGTGGATTCTTTGTCAGTTCAGTCGCTTGGTCATCTCTTTGCGACCCCATGGACAGCAGCACGCCAGGCTTCTCTGTCCTTCACCAACTCCTGGAGCTTGCTCAAACTCATGTCCATTGACTTGGTGATGCCATCCAATCATCTCATCCTCTGTTGTGCCTTTAATCTTTCCCAGCATCAGGGTCTTTTCCAATGAGTCAGTTCTTCACATTGGAAAACAGGTGGATTCTCTACCACTATGCCACCTGGGAAGTCCATTTTGAGGTATATTTTATATACAATAAAATACTCCCGTCTTAAGTGTACACTTCAGTGAGTCTTGACAAAAGCATAACTGTGTAACTACCACTAAGGTATAGAACATTTCCATTTTTCCCACTTTCATCTTGTCCTTTTGCAGTCTCCTGTCTCAGGTAACCACTGATCTGCTTTGTCAACATGGAAATTCTATCTTTTCTAGAATTTCACATAAATGAAATTATATAGTAATTTTTTCTCACTTTTTTTACTTAGTATATTTTTGAGTCTTCTATATTGCTGTGTTCGGTAGCTTCTTTTTCTTAACATCTGTTTTCTTTTGCTTAATTTCCATCAAATGGATATAGCATATAATGGTTTCTGTTTTCTCAAGCACCAGTTTGATGGGCTTTTGTGTTTTTTTCCAGTTGGGGCTAATATAACAATTATGAACAGCTTTGTGTACAGCCTTTGTGAGGGCATGTTTTCATTTCTCCAGATACTTAGGGATGGAATTGAGGGGTCTTACCCTTTCATTTTATATTTTTAACACTTAAACTGCTACTAGATGATGAGAGTAAACATGAATTTCTGTATCCTGCACCGAAACATAACAAGCTTGTTGGCAAGATAATTAGTTTCAATTCTTTTGTTTCTTCTTCTACACCTCTCCTGTTGAAATCATTGGAGTATTTTCATTTTATATAATGTTTTATAGTCTATGGTTAGGTAGACTTCAGTTTTTTTGATTTGGTGTACTTAATGATTCTTTTAAATTTCACTGGAATAAAACCTTTAAGGAGACTTTCAGGTAAGATCATGAGCGGTCAAATGAATCTTTCTATGTTTGAAAATGCCCTCAAACTTGAATAATAACTTGGGCATAGAATTCTAGCTTCAGACTCCAGAGGAGAGATTTTGAATGTAGGTCTGTTGGGCTCCAAGGTTCATACACCATCCATCACATTCTTGGGAGATATTTAGCTTGGAACAAACCTAGATCAGACAGGTGTTAACTGTTCTTAAGCATATGAAAAGAAGTTATAACTATATCTCTAAGTGTTAGAACTATGACTATTTAGGTAGATTTGCGCTCAGTTGAAGGAAAAAAACCTACTCTATGAAACCTGTTCAGAGAACAGTTTTGCTGAGATATTCGCTTTCACTGAGATATTATAAGCTACGTTACATGACCTAACGAACCATATGGTATGGATTGTATAAAGGTGACAGTGTAGGCCAGCTACATTTTGAAAATTTCTTTCAAAATGACATATTTTGTACCATTTATATAAAGTATGAAAAAAAGAATAAGGTAAAAGTTTTGATAAATAGATTAATTTTTCAAAAGGAAACACACCATTAAACACACAGTTTTTAATAAGTGTTGAAAAACCTAAAGTCCAGTCTGACTGTAATGTATTTCAAAGGCAAGCATTCAAACTTATTCACTGAGCTTAAATTGCATTTTATATTTGTTGAGAGAAATATCATTCCAATATTGTTATGTATTTTACTTTATTGTATACATATTAGATACATAGTTAAAAGGAATAAAAATCCTACTCTCTAGAACATGAGACAATAAATAGAACAAAGGTTGGCACTATTATATAAATGGAATTCATGAACATAAATAGGTAATGTGACTTTTAACTATGTTCATATTATGCAGTTTTAAAACTAATCTTTTACAATGACCAAATCCTTACTTGAAACTGTAGGGTTGATAAAGAATATATACCACTTATGTATTAGTTTGGAGACTTACAAAACAGTTTTAGTGGTGGTATTTATGTGTGAAAAGAGTCCTACTACTGTGTATGATTATCATGTTTTAGGAGACATGATTTAACAGTGAAGTGTTTATATTAACATTACAAGGAAGAAATCAGTTTTAAGTTATTAGTTATTTTAGAAATACTACTTAAACTACAATGACATTTATGAAATAGTATATATTCCTTCTTTAATTCCATTTTAATAGTCTATATAAACTGTTATCAAACGAAGGGATGGGTTAAAAACTTTTCAGCATTTTACATAGTCAAGTTAGAAAAGGAACTTAGAAAGGAACTCAGATTTAAAGTTCCAAAGACCCATCAGCTTTGGCATGTTTTCTTTCTTACCACAAATCATTTCCTCTTAAACATGGAGTAGTTAACTATCCTTCTTATGACCTTGGCTATAATAAAGAAAGAGGTCAAGAGACCACAGGTGCAGAGTCACTGGCCCTGATGGAGAGTGGCAGTGAACAACCAGGGACACGGAGACCATAGAACTGGGTGACAAAGGAAGCTAACTCTCTTAACAAATGACCTAGCTCAGAGAAAAGCTCAGTCTGTTGAGATCAACAAGGTAGGATTAACTTTCTGCCGTGAATACTTAGGTACTTGGCAACTCCTGACCTAAACGACATACAAAACCACAACCAATCAACCGGCCAACCACTCTTGGGATATAATAACACCCCACTCTTTATCAGAACCTTACTCCTCTTCTGTCGGGTCAGGCTCTGAGAACATGCTGCACAGGGCTGTGTTGGGGCGGCACACAAAAGCATCAGTTTCACGGCCCAACTCTGTTAATTGTTCCAATGAAGACACGCAAGGATAATGGTCTTTTAACATATCTGGCAATTTAGAAGTCTTCTCTTGAAGACGTCGAGAACGTCTAACTGGTGTTAGAAACCTTAGCTCTTTATATGCTGAATTTGTTTCATCAAACTGCATCTTCTTTTTTACACTAAAAAAGAAAGACCCACAAGATTATTCCCATTTTCACTTCATACTTTAGTTTATCCATGTGACTTGTCCTACAGAAAGAGGGCCTGCCAGCTCCCTGAAGTCAGGAACTTTTTCATTTCTCCATTTGTTGTTTGTTACAACTTGTACACACTAGATACTTGAATACCTATAGAACTGGCTAATTGCTCAATTCCCAAACCCCGTGTTATTAGTAATACACAGAAATTAAAGTTTTTCTTTTTTAAAATGGTAATATTTAGGAAAAAGCAAAGCAAGTACAGGAATGTTCCAATTTCCAATGTACAGAAATGTTCCAATCACATTTTGTTTGAAATCTTTCTATTAACAAATAGTTCTAATCGGGAGCTTAAAGATTTCAAAATACCACATGCACGATCCCTAAGCACAAAAACAAGAACATATTACATTTTAAAAGTTTACCTTTGCAAGTATGGCGTAGTGGACACATTATATTTAATTAAGCAACCTGCCCTAGTGTTTGTACTTGGGGTTTTAACATCACTGGTTGGGTCTTTTACTTTGTCATTTTGCTCTTTTTCACAATCTTGAAACACCACATTTCTAGGATGCTTATTTTCCATTTCCAGTTTTTCTGATTCTAGATCAACATCTGTATCGTCAGTGTGGGCTTCCTGGATTTCTTCTTTGGTTGCACAAGTCTCCTCAATATTTTCTCCTACAGAGAAATTTATAGATGAAGCAGCTTTTGTTTGAATATAAAGAACAAATTCAGAAGACAAGGTTATTTACAGTTAGCCAAATTTGCAAAATCAAAGAACCATACTGCCATCTTGTAACCATTACTTTTTCTAAGCAGATACTGCTAACAATTATTTAACAAATATCTAATATCTCCTATGTGTCAGGGATTACAGAAATGAATACCAAAAGGCAATCATCCCCACCCTTTAAGAAGTTCACATTCTGTGGAAGAGACATGCTTTAAAATAATTATGTGGAAAATGCTATACATAAGGTTAAAAAAAAAAGGGTCATGAGAACCTAAACAAAGAAATAACTGAGTTTGCTTGAGGGACAGGGAGATGGCAAAGGAAGACTTCACAAATGACATTTCCATGGGGTCTTGAAAAATGAGTACAAGACAGAAGGAAGACAATCTTGGTACGAGCTTAAAAGTGATCCACTTAAGATAAAATTAAAGGGCAAGCATGCTTAGACTATATAAATTTTTTTAAATTGCAGTATAATTGACATATAATATTTGTTTCAAGTACACAACATAATGATTTGATATTTGTATATATTGTGAAATGACGATCAGAATACATTGTGAAATGATTAACATCTGTCCCCATACAGAGTTACAAATCTTTTTTCCTTGTGATGAGGACTTCTAAGGTTTACTCTCTCAACAACTTTCAAATATGCAATACAGCGTTATTACTTCAGATACCACAGTGTTCTTTGTTCTTTGCATCCCTAGGACTTATTTATTTTATAACTGGTAGTTTGTATCTTTTGACCTCCCTTCACCCATTTCAATGGGTTGGGCTATTCTTAGACCTTCCTCTGCCTGTGGTTTGTGATATACTAGTCTTTCCTGGTTTTTCCTTCTGTCACCCTGATCATTCCCTCTTACGTGTGTGTGTATTAGTTGCTCAGTCATGTCTGATTCTTTGCGAACCCACAGACTGCAGCCTGTCAGACTCCTCTGTCCATGGGATTTTCCAGACAAGAATATTGGAGTGGGTTGCCATTTCCTTCTCCAGGGGATCTTCCTGACCCAGGGATCAAACCCAGGTCTCTGCACGGCAGGCAGATTCTTTACCATCTGAGCCACCAGGGAAGCCCATTCCCTCTTAAGCTCCTTCATTAAATACAGCCTTTAAGATCAGATCATATACATCTCCTGTATGTCCCACTGGTACTTATTAACAGCAACCATAAATAGAAATATTCTCTGTTGAACTAAAAAATCTTTATAGAGATCATCTAGTCAAAAAAGTGAAAGTATTAGTCATGTCCAACTCTTTGTAACCCCATGGACTGTAACCTGCCAGGCTTCTGTCCACGGGATTCTCCAGGCAAGAATACTGAGTGGGTTGCCATTCCCTACTCCAGGAAACCTTCCTGACCAAGACAGGAAAAGGCTTAGAGAGGTAAGGTAACTTTCACAGATACATGATAACGATTTTGAACCAGATCTCCTAGTTAAGAATTATTTGTACTATGTAGAGTCAATGAATTTCAGAGATAAGTCAACAGAAGTATGAGGAAAGAATCAACTTAAATATTTTAAAAAGTTTAAAAGATAAAAATAATTCAGCAAAGAAATTTAAAATTAAATCACAATTCACCTGAAGGAAACAAAAGAAACTGACTTACCAAATTTAAGTTTTTCTTGACTCTTCATTGTCAGAATTTCAACAATTGTATGTCTCATCTCTTCAATGGGCTTAATTTTTTTTAATGAAGAAAGCAGACCCATATAAGTTTTATATTCTCAGACAGTAACTAGGTTATCCAAGTTGAAAATATTAAAACCAGTGATTAAATTACATATTTTAAAAGAAAACAATGTTTCTTAGACCATTTTTCTCAGAATTCTTGCTACTCAAGTTGAAAAACATGACTGTCTTTTCCAAATAAAAATAAACTTAAAGAAACGAAAGAAAGTCAAGTCGCTCAGTCATGTCTGATTCTTTGCGACCCCATGGACTGTAGCCTACCAGGCTTCTCTGTCCATGGGATTCTCTAGGCAAGAATACTGGAGTGGGTTGCCATTTCCTTCTCCAGGGGATCTTCCCGACTCAGGGATTGAACCCAGGTATCCCACATTGCAGGAAGACGCTTTACCCTCTGAGCCACCAGGGTTAAGGGATAGAATTTAATCAATTTTAAAAATTTCCCTGTTAATTTTTCTTAACCCTATGGTAACTATTACTGCTTGCTTGACAGGAATAAAATGAATGAACAAGTAGCAAATTAAGACTATTAATATCTATCAAAGAGCTGATTATATTGTTTACTCTAAATTTGTATTACTTTATTCCTTTTCTCCTACATTCCAGCCCATGGTTATATTTTTGTTTCACATGCTGTTAAATGCATCTTTGAAGAGTTCAAGGTTGATTAGTCTAACATTTCATTCATTCAAAAATTCAGCAGTTCAGTAACTATGCATTAAATGTCATACAGTGTAAGTACTTACTATATTCCCTTGAACCACAATGCCTGCTAATGGAGTATATTCAAAGTATGATACAAAAGGGAAGCTCAGGGTCACATTCTTAATTTTTGAACTTAGTCCTAAAGGACTCACCCATCAGGTGTTCAGTTTTCTTGTCCAATTTTGATCCCTGTTCCCCAACTTCTGCTCTGGTCTCACATCTCTCTTTACCGCTTTCTCTATGAATGCCTGGCTCTAGTTTTGCATCCTAGCTATACTGTCATAAGCATCATTAAGTAACGTCCCTTCTGGCTCCATGTAGTAGGGACCTAACATTCTCTTCCAGGTGAAGTTTGGTGGAATACAATTATCCTTCAGCAAAGTGTCTAGAGAGAATACCTGCTGAATATATGATATATTAATTCAGGTGAAAGATCAAATAGTATTTGTTGGCTTTGCTGATACTAAAGGATATAGACCTTTCTTAAGGAAAGGCTGAAAAAGAAAAGTTTTTAAAAACTCTGTAAACAATTTCCAAGAATGCATTTCTGAGAAACTTGGCCAAAAGGAAATACATTTAGGAATATCTGCCCATAAAAACAAAATAAACAACCAAATAAAAACTCAAGATATGACTTATTCTATACCCCAGGGCTTTTTTGTAGCAGCACAATGGGAAGAGGTAACAGATATGATATTAAACCACTATGGTGCTAATAATGTCAGAGAAATTAGTTTATTGCCATTTTCTATATGTGACTGGACCAAACATATAGCATATAAATATGAGTCCATAAAGATAAAAAGTGAGAGTTCTCTGGTGAGAGAGCTTGCTAACATTTTTAAAAGTTAGTTTAATTCCATTTGCTTTCTATTAAATATTTTTTAATACTGAAAATTCAGTCTTTCAGTAAATTTCTCCATTAGACGATGTCCAAAATGACATGCTGTGGTAAACTATTTCTCACATCACATTTAGGAAATGCAAATTTCAGCTTATATCCTTTTTCTAAGGTCTGACTATCCCTAGTACATGAGCAAGTTTTAGAAGGGTGAGAAACAGCCTCTATAATATGTAATTCTGTGGTCTTTAAACATTCATTACTGCCACATAAATAAGCAGAGTTGTATCAAGTTATATGGTGATGTGTTCCAAAATAATTCTGAATTATTTACACTGAAATAATGACCCATAAATTATCATCTCACCTGAGCTCCTGCCAGAATGGCCTTCTCATAGACTGTGATAATATTTTCAATAGGACTTGTGAGTGATTCAATATGTGCAAGGCATATCCAATATTTAACAAGCTTTTTGGCATCCGGAATATTTTTAATCAGGTCGTTTAGTGTAACTAATACTTCTTCTTTTGGACACCCCTAAAACAGCAAGAAATAAAGTGAGTGATGCTGTTTAGTCTACAAACTATGAACAATTAAGTAAGCCTACTACAATCAGGATCAGTGATAAAGAGAAAAAAAGGTTGTTAGAAAATTATTCATAAAATAGTCACCATTGTTTTCCTTACTCCAAACTTATTCTGAATGGTTAGCAAGAAGTAGATCAGTCAAGAGTTAGAAAAAAGAAACACCAGTTGAGAAAAAAAATCAGTAAAAAACGTGACTAACACGCTGCTCAGTCTTTATCCTCTCGTATGCTACAGAATTCTGTTTGTTGATGTGTGCACACACACTTCTTTCCGCCCGTGCCTGGTCTGTTGCGGCTTGCAGGGTCTTCTCGGTGAAGCAAGTGGGATCCAGTTCCCCGACCAGAGATGGAACCCATGTTCCCTGACATTGGGAGCACAGAGTCCTAGCCACTGGACCACCAGGGGAGTCCCTATTTGTTATTACTTTATTTATAATTTTTTAACCTACCAAATGCTTATGGAAAGAGCTCACTAGTTTTTTTTCTTCCTGATTATCTTTGTCAGGTTACGACAGTAAGATTAAAAAACTGAATCTGTAATGGCTTATGTAATTAACAGCTATTATTATTAACAGGTAAATAGTAGGGCAGAAAATTCCACAGTATCAATAAAAAACCCCAGTAGAGTAGATTAGGAATAGAATCAGTTTCCCTGACCATAATTTTCACTGGCTGGGCTGTCAGAACTACAGAAAGTTTAAAGATATTCATAAAAGACTAGAGAAAGGTTTGAAATCACACTCTGTATATTCATCACTCTTGCTATGTTTAGACACTAGTGAGTGACCAAAGAAAGATTAAGGAGAAGTCAGGAGAAAAAAATACACACACATACACACACACTCTGGAGTTGATTATCATTCCCATAAAATTCTGGTCCAAATCATTAAATTCTACAGTTCAAGACCATGTTGGTTTAGATTAATGAGATTTGGTTTACAAATATTTTAGTTAAATTTAATCTGTGATAATAATTTGTGTTGCTAGTCTTTGGTAAAGTATAGAATGAGAAGAAAAAATAATTTGTAAATATGTTGATTGAATGTAAAAAAACAGAAGTATCAGAGCAAATACCCAGCCCCAGCCCACTCTATATTAATATCTTAGAAAAATACAATATTTATAAACTCAATGGAAAAAAATCTAAGAATCCCTTTGATACATTTATAGGAACTCAATTAGAATGTAGCCCATTAAAGGCTAAAGAGAAACAACCTCACAATTAAGTCTCCATGACACTGCTGACACATTAATTGGTCAAAAAAGACTGATGATATAATTTAATAACGCTGATGAAGGTAATTTGTAAGCTATAAACTTAATTTGTAAGCTATTAAGTTATAAGCTATAAAGCTATAAACAAACATAAGATAAGCTCTCTATCTACCTCATTAATCAGCTTCAGGCATTCAGAAAATGTCTTGTTTACTTTTTCAGTAAACAGTCGTTGCTCATCTTCTTCTGCCATGGTAGTCCAGAAGGATCCAACAGGTTGTTCATCTTGTGTTTCAGGCTCAGGCCGGGTAACTGCTGAGCTTGGAGGCCGTTTCAGAATTCTTCCTTTGCCAGCTTTCCACTCACTCAGACGAGCTCTACAGTTAGAAGCAGCATATAAACATTACTGTGACACTGATGACAGAATTCTGTCAAACACAGTGAAAGTTGAACAACACTTCCAATCTTTAATTCTACACTGGTGACACATATATAGTTCACCTGTTTGAAGATAAACAGGGAACACATCAATGTTAACTATATGCGCAAAGACCCCAAGAATGCATTTTTAAATGGAGAGGTTATAGAACATTTCCCAATTTCATTAACCATTTTAACTTTGATTACATAAAACAACCTAATTAAACATGTTTTGGTTTGGTTTTAGTTGCTAAGTCATATCTGACTCTTTTGCAACCCCATGGACTGTAGCCCATCGGGCTCCTCTGTCCATGGGATTACCCTGGCAAGAATATTGGAGTGGGTTGCCATTTCCTTCTGCAGGGTTTCTTCCCAGCCCAGGGATCAAACCTGTGTCTTCTGCATTGCAGGTGGATTCTTTACCACTGAGTCACCAGGTAAGCCCAATTAAACATACTCAAGTATAGTAACTTAGGATATACTGTTCCACAATATAAATAGCCTTAGACTGATCTGCATATGAAGAGACTCCATGTACAAAAACCTCAAATACTCTAATATCAAGGAAATAATAAGCCGAATTCACAAATGGTACTCTACTGAAAACTGAGCTAATAAAATTACATCTACTTACTTTCTCTCTTCCGCAGTTTCTTTGGGCCGAGTCCATCTACTGTCGACAGCTGCTTTCACCATAGTGTGTCTACGCTGGTCAGTGCTTTTTGACTTTTCTATCAGTTTAGTATTAGAAGATGAAGCAGGCCTGGCTACCATTTCAGCTGTCATGCTTTTTGATAGTGTCTTATTTCCTTTTGTGTCCTGTGAAGAACTGGTCTTGATGCCAGACGAAACTGTATTTAACTCTTTCTCTCGAGGCCCCTTTCGGACTGTGACATTGGCAGACATCCTGCTGCTGCCCTGTTTCATGGCGTCCCGGGTTTCACTGTGCTGACTTCTAATAGGAGGTCGCACAAGGTGTCGGATGTGAGATGTAGTGTTTGCAAATTTAGTGGCAGTTGTCATATGTGAGGCTCTATCACTTTTCACTGTTATGCTGCTGACGTCTCCAGGCTGAGGCTTTGTGGCTTTAGAGACAGTCGCTGGAAGGTTCTTGGTTGCTGTAGAACTCTCATCTTTGACTTGCAATGGTTTTCTAAAGGAATTAATCTTAGACTGAACAATTTGGCCACGATATGCTCCAAGCACAGGTTTCTTGGGCACGTTAGTGTCGTGCTTTGGTTTTTCTGTAATCACTGTTTTTTTTTTACTGTTGTTTTTAAGGTGAAATGTTTGGCTTAATGTTCTATGCTGATTTTGGGGGTCATCTTTAACTGGTAACAATGGCAGAGTTTGATTATTATCCTCAGAATTAGGTGGATCCGTAGCTGTAGTTGAATTGGTTAATTCATTAGAAGGTTTTAAAGGAATACAGTTTTTTTCCACTGTTAAATTATTTTTGATCCCGGTAGGTCTACCGACATTCTCTTTATCAGCCTAGAAGAGTTATTTAAGACAAATCAGTATTTTAGAATTCCTTTCTTTCAGAAAGAGTTTAGGGAAAAAACCTTCTTTAGGGATGAGGGAAAAGGGATGGAGAGCTACTCCGTATCTTACCATTTTTGTCTTCATTTTCAGAACTTTTTTCCCTTCGTGGATCTGGCCTTCAGCTGTCCTGACTCTCTGATCTCCATCACTTAAAAAAAAGAAAAGAAAATCCACATACTTTTAGAAAATGCTTCCTTTTGGGGGGAGGTATAGGAGGATGTGACCACTCTCCGACTTGGTAGTTCTAAATTGAGGCAAGAACTGAGCTGAGGTTGACTTGTTCTAAGCAAAACTTTTCTTTATTGTAGGGTGATTTAAAGCGTAAACAACATGGCTAGGGAAAGTAAAGATATTTTCTTACAAGATCTTAAACCCTGCCCCCATAGTCTCATTCTAAACCATTCTCTAGTTGTTCAAACAAGTCTTCAAAAATCTTTGTGAAGCAACACTTTCTTTGGTTAGTTTCAAGTACCTGGTACCAGACTTACCTTGAAAAAAACAGCTCTTCCAAAAGAAATCCAAAAATTTTCAACACACAATTAATTTATTAATTAATGTGGATTTTAGTTTCTAGATGGCACTGCATTTAGACTATACATCCCAAGCAAAAGATTCTTCAAGAATTAAACCTAGGAACAAGATGGCGGATGAGTAGGTGGACGTGGAGTCTCTCTCCACGGATACATCAGGAATACACCTTCAGACATAGACGTGCATGCAGAACACCAGCTGAGAGCAGACAGGAGTACCTGACCAGCGGAAAAGAATATACAGACCCAAGCAAAACTCGGTAGGACAAAGGAACTAGAGGGAAAAACAGGAGTGTTAGTTAGGACTGGGCCTGCCCTAGGCGGGTGGGGAAACTGAAACAGGGGTCTGATCCCCACACTGGGGCAGTTGTCTGAGTCAGAGGAGAAACATTTAAGGCTGAGAGTCAAACAGCTGATCTGTGGCAGCCTAAATGGAATGAGAATCAGACAGTCCTTAGCGCAGCCATACGTACCCTGGACAGGGATGTAATCCCCTGGAAGGCGCAGTGGCTGGGAGCTGGAGTTTGGGGATTGTGGAGCAATCCCAGGGCAAGGGCTGCTGTTGACTGCAGAGAGGTGGATCGAGGGGATGTGAGGGAGGAGACTGGTGGGAAATGCCTGTGGAGGAAAGCCAGGCACCATGGATGCAAGGCGATACTGCTGAGTCACACCTAGGGGGTGGAGCCATCACCATAGCCTCTCTCCCACCACGTGCCAGCACTGGCCGCTGAACAATAGAGAGGTTGGCCCATCAAACGCCTGATGCACTGACCTACCAGAGTAGGACCCCACCCAGGGTGCTCATTTAAGTGACTGATGCGGCCAAGTACAGAGTAGGCTCCCACCCAGGGTGCCCCTTTAAGTGCCTGACGCACTGGTCTACAGAGTAGGACCCCAGCCAGGGGTCCCCTCTATGTGCCTGATGCACCAAACAACAGAGAAGGACCCCGGGCAAGGGAGCCCTCTAAGCGCCCGAGCAAGCAGCTACGGAAAAAGACTGGCCAAAGAAGCCTTCTGATTGCCAGCTCCCAGAGGCCTGAAAAAAGACTGTGATAGGGCCCTAACTCCTGCGACAGAGGCAGCCCGTGTCCCTGCACACGTGGCGCCACCAGGGTCCCCAAGTCAAGCAGCTGCACCACCTTCACGCTCAACTCTCACTGGGGCAGAGCTGCCACAGGCAAAAAAGCCTTGCGTCTTTGTGCACAGGGTTGCTTTGGTAGCGTCCAACTCTGCAACCCTGTAGACTGTGGCCTGCCAGGCTTCTCTGTCAGGGAGGGGTTCTCCAGGCAAAAATACTGGAGTGTATTGGCCAGTGCGGGTGGCCATACCCTTCTAGAGCACGGTATTTCCTGCTGCCCTGGCCGCCAACTCCCGAGTACCTGGTGCTGCCAGAACCCCTGTGACCCAAGCAGCAGCCCCACCTCCACACCTGGCCCTCACGGGGGCAAACCCAAGCCCTCCAGGGCAGCCTCAGGAGCAAACCCCAGTGGATGACCCACATGCAGAGGTGGAGATAAAACCACAATTGACACCCAGGGGTAGTGTGGCTAAGGAAGAAGACCCAAAACCTTCCCACCAGCTGTACCAGCTGCAGAGTAAATCCACACGATTAAAAAAAAAAAAAATCCACACGATCAACTATGTAGACTCTATCTACAGAATATATAAAAGGTCACTGAGAGCTCCCACAAAAGAAAACGTACTATTCTGATAGCTTTGGACATTAGAGGTAAGAACACAGAGGATTAGGAGCAGATTAGACTCTGAGCCCACAGCAGGTCCAGGGGTCAGCACAGTGTTGGAGGGCATCCTAGGGAGGTAAGGCGGACTGTGACTCCCGGTGAGGGAAAAGACTCTGACAGCAGTGACTCAAGAAAAACATTTATTATTCTCATGTTTTGACTTGTTCTGTAGATTCTTTTGTATTTTTTTTCTTTTTCCCCCTGTGTTGTACTTGTCGATTTTATTGGCACTATGAAATCTAATGAAGCTTTTGAGCTTTTTTTTTTCCTTTTTCCTTCTCAGTCACATTTTTTTTTTGTTGTTATAAACCTCTGCCTCTATTTTGGGCTTTTGCAGTTCTAGAGTTTCCTTTTTTTTCTTTTAAAAAATTTTTTTAAACCTTTATTATTTTTCCTACATTTATTCCTTTGTTGGCTTTTTCTACTGTTCTTTTTTTTCCTTGCAGTTAATCTTTAATGTATATAAATCTTCTCTATCTACCTCTATTTAACTTTGCATATCTATTCTTTCTTTCTTTTCCTCTCAACATATTTGTCAGTTTTATTTTCATTACTTTATTCCCCAATTGGCACCTTGCTTTAGTTTTGTTTTCCAGTTTGTGATTTAGTTAGTTTTGCTCTGGTAGATATAATTTTTGGTTTCCTTTGTTTGCAGAGTCAATCTATTGTACTTTATTTTTGTTGGACTGTTTTGATTTTGCTTATGGGTGTGTATGTGTATATTCAGTCATACTTTTTATTTTTATTATTGTTACAAACCTCTGCCTTTGTATTGGGCTTTTGCAATTCTGTTGAGGTTTCCTTTTTTTTTCCTTTCTTCTTTCCCTTTTTTTTCTTTTCTCTTTTTTATAATTTTAACTTAAAAATTTTTTAAACCTATATTTTTTCTACATTTATTCCTTTGCTTGCCTTTCCTACTGTTCTTTCCTCTTGCAATTAATCTTTAATAAATATAAATCTTCCTCATATACCTCTATTTAACTTTGCATATCTATTCTTTCTTTTCTTTCCTCTCAACATATTTGTTAGTTTTGCTTTCATTGCTTTATTACCCACTTGACACCTTGCTTTAGTTTTGTTTTCCAGTTTGTGCTTTATTTAGTTTTGTTCTTAACTGGTAAATATTTTTTATTTCCTTTGTTTGCTGGGTCAATCTATTGTACTTTACTTTTGTTGGACTATTTTGACTTTGCTCATGGCTGTATATGTATATTCCATCATTTTAATTATTATTTGACTGATTTTGTAACTGCCATTTGTCTGGAGTTCATCTTTGGTCCCTCGTTTTTGAATATTTGTTTTAATCTCCCTTAATGCCATAACAAACCACTTGTAGAATCTTTGATCCTGACCAGAGATCAAGCCTTGAGCGTTTGGAGTGGTAGCACTGACCCAAAGACCCTAGACTACCAGAGAACTAACCCTAGGGAGTATCAAATAGTCAGAACGAACACAAAGGAAACCACTGTAATACAAGACCCAGCATCACCCAACCACCAGTAGCACACTATGCAGGAGGCCTCAACTAAACAACAAACAAAACAAAAATACAAACCCAATATCAGCAGACAGGATTACCACCTCACTCAGCCTTGCCCATCAGAGGAAAAACAAACAAAGACTCAACACAAATCTCACCCTATAAGAAGCTTACATAAACCACTGGACCAACCTTAAGAAGGGTAGAAACCAAAAGGAAGAAAGAATGCAACCTTAAAGCCTGGGAAAAGGAGACCTCAAACACAGTAAGTTAAAAAAAAAATAATGAAAAGGCAAAAAAATATTACACAAATAAAGGAACAAACCAGAAACACAGAAGTCCAAATAAATTAAGAGGAAATAGACAAGCTACCTGAAAAAGAATTCAGAATAATGATAGTAAAGATGATCAAAAAACAAAATGGAGAAAATGCAAGAATCAATTAACAAAGACCTAGAAGAATTAAAGAATAAACATACAGAGACAAACAACACAATTACTGAAATTAAAAATACTCTAGAAGGAATCAATAGCAGAATATCTGAAGCAGAAGAACAAATCAGTGAACTAGAAGATAAAATGATGGAAATAACTTCTGAAAAGAACTGATAGTCTCAGAGACCTCTGGGACAACATCAAATGCACAAACATTCGAATTATACGGGTCCCATAAGAAGAGAAAAAGAAAGGGTATGAGAAAATTTTTGAAGAGATTATAGAAATTATATTGAAAATTTCCCCAACGTGGAAAAAGAAATAGTCAATGACATAAAGAGTCCATACAGGATAAACCCAAGGAGGAACATGCCAAGACACATACTAATTAAACTAACAAAGACTAAACACAAAGAAAGACGATTAAAAAGAGCAAGGGACAGGCAACAAGTAACATACAAAGGAAACCCCATACACTTAACAGCTGATCTTTCAGCAGAAACTCTGCAGGCCAGAAGGGAATCACAGGATATATTTAAAGTACTGAAAGGGAAAAAGAAAAATCTACAACCAAGATTACTGTACCTGGCAAGGATTTCATTCAAAATTGATGGAGAAGTAAAGTTTCTCAGACAAGCAAAAGTTAAGAGAATTCAGTACCACCAAACCAGCTTTACAACAAATGTTACAGGGGCTTATATAGTCAAGAAATACAAGAGAAAGAAAAAGATCTACAAAATCAACCCCAAACAATTAAGAAAATGGCAATAGTAACATATGTATCAATAATTACTTTAAATGTAAATGGATTAAATGCTCCAACCAAAAGACACAGACTGGCTGAATGGATAAAAAAACAAGACCCATACAAATGCTGTCTACAAGAAACCCACGTCAGACCTAAAGACACATATAGACTGAAAGTGAGGGGATGGGAAAATATATTCCATGCAAATGGGAA